AAACAATACTGGGTATAATTTCCTGGAACATTTAGCGAAAATGTCCATAAAGTATATTAAAATTTAGGCGTTAAGGCAAGGTAACATACAATGTGTAGGCCTACACATGAGGCACGCACAAGTAAGCATCAGTAACAGCGGAAGCAGAAAGACGGTCCCTGAACAAAATAAAACCAAGGAGTTATAACCATGGAGGTATACCACCATAGTATAACACAAACTAGAAAAAGAGCAGACCCGCTTCAGATAATTCCTATTACATTAGCGGTGTTCATGACAATCTTGGGGTACTCGGTTATATGTACAATTGCGAGATTTTTATATTATTAATTTCCATAGAGCTATTATAACAACCAGAGTGCTGACTGGGCGACGAAGCAACGCACAATGGCTGCCGTAGGAACATTCTGACCAGCGATGCGAATCAAATTATGCTAGGACTGATGGGAAATGCTTAATTTTAAAATGTCAATAAGCGCCACCCACTCTCCCCCCCCCCACCCCCGCGCAGGGGGAAGAGCCCCTAAATGCTTTCCATCTCCCACAATAAAAGCAAATCACGGTCACAAAGTTAAAAAGCACCTCAAATTACCTTATTTTGGCAGCTGACGCTCCAAGGGTGGCGCCAGGATTTGCTCGATGGGGGTGGGGGCGGGGGAACGTCCCCGACAAAAAAAAAAAGATTTTCTCTACAGTGGCCTTGGGCTCCCCTACCTAATCATCAAGCCCCAATTTAAATTCACTTCTCTACCTCACTCCCCATCCCCATTTCAATGATATGCTGTATTTTCCGAAAATCTGACAATTTAGTGACTTGAAAGGCATTTCAATCTCACACCCTGTAAAAGTTATTTATTTCTCAACTAAAAATGTTTTTTTTCTCGTGACCGAGGTGGGGGAAGGGGAGTTTGTAGCCACTCGGAATCCACTGATGCCACCCCAGATTCAATCAGCATTTTACTTAAAATTACAATATAAATTAACACATTTTTCTTCGATTCTTAAATGGGGGATCGATAACCTCACTGTGTGTGTTACCTGTATAAACAATCATATAGGATTTAAATCCAGTGGCGGATCCAGGAGGGAGTTTCCCACCTCATCCCCAACCACGGTGGGGAGGCTGAAGAAAATGTATGTTTATGGCATTATATATCTGTCATAGCACTTTATGGAACAATATAAACTTTATTGTTTTAATTACAAATTCAATTTCAATTCAAATTTATTCGGCATCACATAAAAAACACAATTACAGTATGCAAAATGCGGTAGGAGACATCCATATTGAAGTGACACTTTTTTGGTCCTGAAGGTGTCCCCCTATAATAGGGGTTCTACTGTAATTTTATTTATATTGTCAACAGATTGGTGTGTACTAGCTGGGATATATGCGATGGTAATTTAAGAGAACAATGATGCCATAGGCAGTGGAATGAGTGATGGAAGGACTAATGACATCAAAATAAGCCCACCATAAATGTGGCCAGATCAGGGCAAGGGAAAAGATCTTTTTGAGAGGTAGAGTGGGTTGGAGGCATTTGTGACTCTACATTCATAAGCACCACCATGGTGAGGTGCGAAAGTTTGAAGAAACAGTACCTGTAAATGACCGAAAATGACACTCTTACATATATTACCATCATAGTCAAAATAAAGCATCAACAAATTCGCCAAGAATCCACAAACTTTTAATAACAGTTTTTTCATGGCGTAACATCATATTCCCATTTATACAGTTCATTTAAAAAATGTTAAGGCACATACTTGACAGAGGATTAAAAGGTTCTGTAATCGAGGTGCAGGACAAAGGCCTTGGCAAAAAGGAAAAAAAAGGACTTGATGGTGTGGGATGTGGTAGAGTAATTTGGAGGGGATCAGTGGCCCTCCACTGAAAAGTTTTTATTTTATGCTGCTCGGAAATGCGCTTTCCTGTCTCTGTCCAATGTAATGGGGTAGGCCTAAAAACGGATATTCACAAGAACAAGGATTTTTTGGATAAAATAGTTTTAATTGTCCTGGTATCCAATTTTGTTGGGTTTCAATTGTGACCAATTTTTTTTTTTTTTTTTTTTTTTTTTTTTGTGAGAACAGTTTCAGATATTTTACTTCTTAATACAAAATTATGCTAAATTTTGCCAAAATTGTGCCAGCACATATGCTAGATGCTAAACGGGTCTAAATTATGCATAATTATGCTAGGTCTTGTCACTATGCTTAGGAAAGCCCCACCTTCAGGCTTTGTATACATATTATTCCAACAAATATGAAAGACTTCCTACTAACTATTATTTCATTATCAATTATTATTTTAATATCAATAAATTATTATAATAGCCTAACCATAAAAAGGCCAATCCAAAAGGAGTATCTGATTTAAAAATAAAGTACTGAGGAATGAAAATCGAAAGCGTGTTCGCTGCACTTTAACGCTCGAGTTTTAAGCATGCAGGTTTGTTTGTTTATTTATTCAAATTGTCCACACATCATAGAACACAATTTAAAATTTAAGAGCCGCGATTATGCTAATAATATAATATGAATACTTATACAAGGTAAATAAATTTAATTATCATGTAAATATAAGCTATAAGAAAGTGGTAAGTATAAATCAACATGGGGAAATAAATGTGTGGATGAAGGACAAAATAAGTTCGGAGAACTTTAAGTCATGACCTCCAGGATATGCTTAATTCGATGTTTAAATGGAGCAAATGTTGGGAAGTAAACAATGATTAAGTAGATCATAAATAAATTAGTGTCTAAAAGGATATATATATATAAGTAGATTATAAACTTCTACATTTTATAAAAATAAACCTCAATTCGTGCTGTAAAACATTTCCATAGGCTGGGTTCCTTAGTGTTTGATTTATGTGTGGGTGATATGCTTATCCTATTGGCTGTGAAAATCATGCGAACTCATTTTAGAGTTTGGGACTGAACCTTGTTTCCAGAAAAATGAATTAGTGCATTTATTTATTTGCAGGTCGCGTATGTCAGCCTAAACAGGAATGACGCATCGGTTACGTGCGTTTCTGCAGGAGTACAATGCCAGTTCTTATAAATGGCCAAATGGCTTCAACTCTGCCATTTTCGAAGCGAGCAGTAAGCTTAAAAAAAATCGCCAACTGGAGCAAGCAATCTGTGATATAGACGACATGATTCGCAACTACTACATTCAGTGTATAGATAATATGGACAGAGTCTTTGTCTCTATAGGAAGTACACCAGAGGGAATCTCCTTAGCTTCATCAGATAGAGACGTTATGTTCCTTTCATTAAGATTGGCGGCAACAGAGCGTAATGTTCATGGTACTGAAAGGGGAATATTACAGATTGAGTACACCACTAAGCCGGGTTATGTCAGACTGCGAGTTCCCTTAGGCACAGCTAGGTCATATGGCATGATCCCCGGCGCTGTGCACGTGGAAAAACGACGACTGTACTTGAAAAACGACGCATGGAAAGATGGAATTCTGGGTGATGAAGGAAATCATGAAATATCGCAAGTTCACGGACCGGCCCTGACCAATGAAGCCGGTGTGCAGGACACTGTCCACGGCGTTCACTGTGCTCAATGGCCAAGTTGCGCCAAGGGTTTTCTAAGAAGAAAACGTGCAATTTCCAAGTGGCCGTCGTCGGAAGTCATGCGAAGTATCGTCCAGAAGGGTTGTTGTTTGGTTCCGGTGGGTCATCCAATGCATCACCAAGAAAACCTGCTGTGGAGAGTTTCCTTCAACATGGCTGAACAGGAGTTACTTCGCGGCTTCAATGACACCCAGGTGTTTTGCTGCTGTTTGTTGAAGATGATACTTCGTACCCATTTTCCAGAGGAAACTGTGCTATGTTCTTATTGGTGCAAGACCGTCATGCTGTGGCTCGTGCAGAATACAGAACGTCGTTGTTGGAACAGGAAAAATTTTGTTCGGAACCTTCACAAAGCTCTGTATCTGCTACATCGTTTTATGGAACACCATGACTTGCCAATGTTCTTCCTGCCAGAGAACAACCTCATTTCTCACAAGGATAAACAGGCTTGTCTTCGTGTAGCCAAGAGCCTCGGAGACATGCTGCATGTTTCAACCTTCGTACGCGCCGTGCTAGACTGCTTAACATACTCAAAGGTTTCAGGGGTGACCACTGACGGGTTTCCAACAACAAGTAACAGAAATGAACCGTCTTTTCACGTGGACGAGTCACAAAATCGCACTGATGTAAAGTCCTTCCTTGATTTCATGCACTGGCGATGGCAGGAAGATCACATTTTGCCATATCGCCATTGGGCTGTGGTAGAAGAAGCTCAAGTCATTGCTGCCTTCCTGGAGATTTATGAAGAGGACGACCCCCGCGCTATCGAGTACACGCAGTCAATGATACGAGAATCCGATGATGACTTCTTAAAGAAATTCGATGTTCTGCTACAACAGAAACTTGGACAAAGTCTGTTTTTTGAGCATCAGAAGACACGAATGACCATGCAGAAAACTGAACAGCTCCTTGAGTCATCTCGCGTAATAACATACCCTGTAAGCGGCTACCGAGATCACATCTATGGGACAGTATACATTGCTTTCTTGCTCTACACTCGATCAAGGGACGCCGAGTCTTTAAGCAAACTACAGAGCATAGAAGAGGATCTCGTCGAGGCACAGACCGATGCCTTCAAAATACTTTTTATTGCTCTATCTGATATTCATAAGTGCCTTCTGGAACGCGATAAAGTTTTACGTAGTTTAATCGACAGAATGGCACTGACGAACCGACGAACTCTCACGAACAGCGTGGCGTTTGCATTTTATCTTATGGTGAGGCTTTCTGCTAAGCTTCAGCGAAACACACGCGCTCCATTAGTACGCCGCTACGTTAGACTGTTCCGAGGATTTGAGAAATATCTGCACAATCTTCCTCGAGAGCAACTGGACGTCTACCATTTCCTGCTGGACTATATAAATGTGGAAATACTGACTAACGGCAATTTCCAGTAGAAACCAACTGGTTTATATGTCGGTCTGTGTCAAACCCTAAAAAGCATGTACTCTTGCAATGTGTTTTCTGTTTTCGTTTTACCAACATCTGTCTATTCGTCATCCGCTATTTACAGCAATTACTTTATTCATTGGATTTGCCCAATTTTTGCCAATTTTTTGTTCAGAAATGCTTGAGTTTTATCGATTTTCTGACTAAGTATTTGTTAATATTGAGCACTAATATGAAATTATAGATTGCATAGAGTCCTATACACTGTTGATACGAAATCCAAAGCTTAAAATTAAACGATATGCTAGAGTATACTCGATCTATACTGAAAATATGCATGTAATGTTGAATATTTATTTAAAGACGTCGGATTGTAAAAATTAAATATCCTATTTTCATAGGCACCACTTTAAGGTTTGGGGTATGTTTTTAGAGATATCAACTATGAAAGTATTTTGATCACCATAAGACCAAAGTACCAACCAAGTACAGTTGCTAGTATATCAATTGGAGCAATTTACCCTGAACACTGATGATCTTGTCACAGTGGAGCACCTTATCCAACTGCTTGATCGGATTCGTCAAAGCACCTAAAAAATAACTTCTAGTATTGCGCTTTTTGGATATACAGTCAGTATGTCTTTGCAACAATAAATTAGCATAAATAATTACACCTAAAAGTTTCGCTTTGGTTTACTTTTCCGAGTTCAACATTGTTGATAACACTGGCCAGGCCCGTATGCAAGGGGGTGGGGGGGCTGTCTGCAGCTGCAACTACGAATTGGCTTAATCAATTTATCGACAGAAAAACAAAACACTTAACAGAGAAGCTGTTACCGCTGATGTTTCATTGTGTGATGAATTTCCGACAATAGTAATAAGATTTATAATATCAGGGCTAACCATATACATTTTTAAAACTTTGTAAAATTGTAGACAAAGATTATGTAAAGTCATTATTTTCTAAAATTAGTAGCTCTACACATAGTAGCATAGTAATAATAGTAGCTCTACTCATCGCTATAATCAATACATTGTATTTATCTCCTACATTCATCACTCATCTAGGATCTTACTTAAAAAAACATCGTTTAGATCATAACTAGCCTAGGCTCCAGTCCAGTATTACCTATTTAGAACAACCTGAACAGCGCCATTAGCGAACAAAGCCTCGCTTTGTTCGCTGGTGGCGCTGTAAAATTCAAAGAGACGGTTGTTTGGAGCAAGTCTAAATGTGAACTTTATTTCCAATACCATTTGAGGGCCAATTGTCAAGTTCCAGTCCTCCGATCAAGTGATGGTTCGTAAAGGTCAGTATTTCCGTCTCTTATACTGCATACATTAAACCCATCTTTTGTTGGGAATTTGGTTCACTTGCGCTGATGATATTCAAATCTAAGCTATTTAGGCCCTAATATAATTATGCTAAATGGACTATTCAACGGTTTAGGTTGAAATCGTTTTGATGGTGGTTTAAAAAGGGGTCGTTTATTAGCCATAACAACCATTTTGTGGAAAAAAAAAATCATCAATAATAACCATTTTGTGGGAAAAAAATCATCAATAATTACTTAACATCTAAGATACGCACATCATTAAAACAGATGAATATATATATCAGTAGATGGGTAGTTATAAATTAATGTTCGACTTTCGTAATAGACCGGCATGACTTTCACGCACGTAGTCCATAGAACTTGGTGCATACATTAATTGGCAGTTAATCGATTTGGCGATGCATTTGCAGCGATTTCAAACACTGGCCGGTGGAAGATTCTGTAAACATTCGGGTAAAAAACTCCACAGATGTCTCTTACTCCATTCAATTAACTAACGATTAACAGAATAGTGCACGTACTGTGTTTTGAAGCACTGACTATTAAGTATCTCAGCAATAGCAAAGTACGGTTTCCAGGGCAAATTTTTAGCTATGTTTTATCGCTCGCCTTCATTCCGGTGAATTGTGACACGCTTCTATCTGCGCAATAAATAAAAGTATACATTGATTGCGTTCGCTGAGTTGATAGACACTCGTTATCAATAAACCTTCTATCTATCAAACTTGATTTATACGGTATCTTGTAGGAAGTGATCTAGTGTCTAAAGAAAAAATACAGTACACAATATTTATCTCGAATTGTCATCAATTCACCGATAGCATGTAGAATATTTTAGTATAGCATCTATCGTGTTGGTAATTGAAGGTACTGTAGGCCTAATGCAGTTTGGCTTCTAAATGACGTTTCGTGTAATTAATTAATTACCAACTACATTGTAATTATGTTTGCGTATGATACGTTAAGAGATAAGAATTGGAAGTCACTCTCTCTCTCTTCGTTGATCAACAATGCAGTATTTCAGTTATTTCAAACATGACGTGGACCTTGTGCATTAAAACAATGCAATTTTCCTACACGCGATATAAATAACTTTGAACTTTGCTAGTAGTGGAAACTATGTAAGTCGGAGTAGGCATACTTGCTTGCGCTCTAGAATATCAAGATAGAACAAAACTTAAAAGGCCGTCAAATTATGGACTCTATAATGCACTCGGCAAATACACTGGAATATTGTCAAATAAATTCATCCGAGACGATAATATGCAACGAGCAATGCTTTAAGTTCACCAACCTCACGGAAGATCATCGATATTCCGACTGGGATAAGACCTGTGTGTGTTACATATTTCCGGCAATATTGTTGCTCGGAATCGTCACAAATGTTTCGTTCATTTTCGTTTCCTTTCGTATTTCATATCTGCACACTGCTATAAATAACTTTCTTATTAATTTATCGATAGCGGACATGTTGTTTTTATCGGTAGCTGTAGGCGAAAAACTATATAACTATCTTGACTTGGATGTATATAGCCACACCGTATACAAAACTAACGCTGGATGTATTATCATATCGATTTTGAAAAATTCCACGTCTTTCACTGCACAGATTATTGTCACTTTAATCGCTTTAGAGCGATATCGAGTTATACGATACCCGCTGCAGGCGTACACGGTAAATTCTAGGGTAAGAGTAAGGCGACATAACGTTTGTTCGTGGTTTGTTGCAGTGATTCTTTCAGCGACAATGTCCCCTGCTGTCGGGAAACATCAATCATATTGTGGGCTATGGATTGTGGATCTAAAACTAAACGATACAGAGTTTGTTATAATTAACAACTGTGATGACGTGAACCATGCATTTGTAATCTACTACGAGTTTATACAGACAGTTCCTTTCTTCTTCGCCTGGACAATTAGCAGTATCATACACGGGTTGACTATCCAAGGGCTTAAGCAAAGTATTTCAGACTCCACTCTACATCCAAAAGGATCAGACACACTGACTAAAGCCGGGAACCAGGTTACATCAATGTTATTAATAAACGGTATAACTTTTTTCTTGCTTCTAGCTCCGTTCCAAATACGCTCACTAATGGCAATGATTAGACATCTTAACGACCATAACTATAACGATAGGTTTCTCAATATAGGTAGGTTGCTGCTGTACACGAACGCAGCCATAAATCCAATAATTTACGTTATAATTAATCGGCGTTATCGTAACGCGTACATCCTAGCTTTTTGGCGATGCCGTAGTAACGACATTGACGATAACATCACCGGAAGATCATGCACAGGCCTACGCAATCGAGAGGCTTTGAGCTCCATAACATTGACTAGAATTGAAGGTATCAATAACTACCACTTTGACACACATTTATGATGGAGCAGAAGGAGAATAAACGTATGTAGAATGGAAGGTATTATCGCAACAATAGTGTTAGAGACCAACAAAATTTCCTTTCCGTTATTGTTACTTTAAACTCTTTCAACAATACCATACGTGACCATACCATACATGATTCATTTGTTTTTTGAACGAATATTATTTCATAAAAAGTAGGCGTTCAACCTAAAATGAGTCCTTATTAGTCTTCGTGTACACCTATGCTTAAGACGTCCCACGGAAAGGAAGAATGATGTTTTTTATCAATGAAGAAATATTGTATATTTATTTTTTGTATCTTACATGCTGTCAGGCTAAAAAAACCTATTATTGAAATGTTACACAAAAAGAGATAAAATCGAAAACGTCCTGTGTTATTGCTGTATATGCTGTGTGTAGAAGGGTTTGGTTATAGTTTAGATTTATATATTGTATTTAAAATTTCATGTGATTTGCGCATTATCAGACGAACCCCCTTTGATCAATAAACTGTAATGACAACTGTCTCTACCTTTCGATTTAATTTATGAATTCACTTTTAATTGTAAATCAGTACGATCGCATGATAACAGATGTTGGCCAAATAAGGCGAGACTTAGTTTTATAACTTGTTTAGCGAACCCGCCGCCCGCCAATAATGAGGATTTCGAATAAAAATAAAATCTTATTTTGGCCAATTAGCACAAAATGGAAATTTCAGAAAAAAAAACATAAAAGTTTCTCTTTATTTGTATTACGCTCGCCGCTGCCTTTAAATCTCCAAAAATAAAATAGGTGTCCTATGTATATTTCTTCCTAATTATATAAATCATTTAACCATCCCATTGCTGTTTACATTCACCGATAAAACGTTATTTTTAATTTCTCCTCCGTTTGAATGTTTTTGGCAAAACTACTTGCTAATTAAGAAAACTTTTATTTTTTCCCGCCCTCTTTTGACGACCTTTTAAACAATAAGTTCGCGAACAAGGTATAAAAAAAAGTCTCGTCTAATAGCACCGACGTACAGTACCACATCTGTGAACATCTGGAAACACTGCGGAAAACTACTTATATTTCGAAATGGCTAAGTGCGATTGTGTTATCTATTCTCTACCACAAATAGAAAGTATAAATTTATCCGCGAATTTATCTTTAAAAAGCTATCAGTTATATATACTGTATAATTTGCATCCAATCTCGCCCACAGAATCCTATACACCAATGAATTTCGTTAGTCTGAAAGAAGGCGACTCTGTACTCTACTGTAAATATCGACCTTTGGGTGACTACAACAAAAAAAATTTTTTTTTTAATTGCATGGTGAAAGGCTTTTGGCCGAAACAAACAAAAATAGCATTCATTTAGGTTTTCGTGTCTCGTCATAGCAACGGCCATTTTTCCGGATTTTAGCACACAGGCCTACACGTACCGTAATTTTCATAAATATCATAAAAGTTGCATTCCAACGGTTCGTACATAGAATAGAGTAATTTAATTTTACTACTAATGCAAGATAGGCTGAAGAAATCTTTACAAACAAAAAGCAAAAAAAAATAAATAAATAAATAAAAAATAAATAAATAAATAAAATAAAAATTCTGATGGATGGCAAAAACGGACCGTACCATTTATTTGAAATAGGGGTGTTTTTGCATATTTTGAAAATTCCTAGGCCCAAGTTTGGAGGGGTATAACATTTATCGTAACGCTTTGAATGATCTGTTTTTGCAAACCCATGTTGATTAATTAAAAAGAGCATTGTAAATCCTATTAAAGCTGTGTTGTCAGAAATGTTTTTAGTTTTTTTTTTTTTTGGCATAATGGATATTACTGCTTATATTTTGAGATAGGTGAATAAAAATTGCATTGAGTTCAAATTTTATCAAATCAAATAATTAAATCTTACAATGTATATTAAATTTTATTAAATATATATTAATTTAAGATTTTAGCAGTTAAACGCAATTTGTTATCATTTTTACTCTAAAATAGCATAAAAGTGACATTCCACAGCTCTTATATAGAGAATAGAGTAATTAAATTTAAACTTAAAATTTACGGATATTAATGTAAGATCTCATAAATGAAAAAGATACAAAACACCGGCCTGCACCCCTTCCCTTGTTTGAGGAACAACTCAGTGCTGTAATTTGCAGTGCAAGATGATCATCTAATAAAACTTTCTTATCAAATTTATGCAATTTATTATTATGCCAAAATAAAAATAAATACAATACGTTGTGATCATGGAGAATGACACAGTTGACAGTTTCTGATTCATGATATTCTACTACGTTAAGTTATTCACTTAACATAAAAGCGTACCCGTACTGCATTTTCTGCTTACTGATTTCCTCAGATCAGATGTAGGACTACTGAAGTATTTTGAAGTGAGTTTTTCTTACTCTTATTCAGGAATTGGAAAATGTTCACATGTTTTTAAATAGTGTATTTAAATATGCTCGGCAATCACACTATATGTTCTGTCACAACATGTACGACTACTTTCAAAGTAAGTAAAGTGTGAGAATAGTTTTTGAGTTATGCGCCGGAAAGGACAAACATAGACAGACACACAGGCGCGCGTGATTGCAATAATAATTATGCATATTTGATTCCTAGCCAGTAAATGCACAATAAACCAAATTTGGTTTTTCTGGTCGGAGTAACAGTAAGTTACATTATGACCATGACGTATGGAATCTTGGTCATAATATAAATTTTATTTAATACTAAGATTATTCAGCACACACCATAAAACATGATACGGTTCATATCAAATTTATAATCGCTATTATTATTATTATTATTATTATTATTATTATTATTATTATTATTATTATTATTATTATTATCATGCAAACAACGGAGTCAGATAGTAGTATACATGCTGTTACAGTATTATTATCGTTGTTAATAATAATAACAACGATTATTATTATTATTATTATTATTATTATTATTATTATTATTATTATTATTATCATCATCATTATTATTATTATGCTAAACCTTTTCACGTCGGTGCGTGCGTAAAAACTGATTCCTTTGAATTTGGATACAGCATGTGTGTAAAGAGATTCATAATTCATTAAAATTCCATGTAATTATCTATGGTAAATACTTACTTAAAATAAGTATTAACATTTAAAAGGATGTACTCCCCTTTAATATAAGGAAGTATAAATATATATTTGCCTGAAGTGTCCAATGAATTATCAATCAAGTTTAGCCAAATAAATTTGATGCATAATGCGTGAACTCAGTGTTTTGAATTTGGATTTAGCAATTGTATAAAGAGATTGATAATACATTAAAATTCCTGTAAGTATCTATACTAAATATTTATTTTCATAAGAGTTAACATTGTGTACTTCCTTTTAATATAAGGAAGTATAAATATATATTGGCCTGAAGTGTCCTATGTTTATTAAGTAAAAGTTTTTTGTGATTATTAAGTAAAGGTAAACATACTCATAAACCGAATTATCAAAACATGTATGGAAACTTAAAGCACCACCCAATTCAACATTTAAATGGTCCATAATTGACAAAGCTACGCCATACAGTACACAAACAAAACGCTGCAATCTCTGCCTTACAGAGAAATTTCACATAATTTATTCAAACAAACCATCAACTTTAAACAAAAGTACAGAGCTGCTTTCAAAATGCAGACACAGAAACAAATTCCTACTCAAGAATACGTAACACAATTAGTATAAACACCTGCTGAACCTCATATATACCCCCATTATCTTCCTTTTCACTCACTCCTGACGATTGCTACTGCAAGAAACAGCTGTAGAGTAAATTCACGCTTGACATACCTTTCTATTATTATTATATATATATATATATTATATATCTTTTTTATATATGTGTGTATGTATGTATATATTGTACGTGAAGAGACTCTGCCCCGTATTGCTTTAATGCGTTGTGCATATATTTTTTTCAATGGCAAAGGGGAATCTGCGAGTGTGAACCAATAAACTATGTTTTTAAGGTTTTTGGAACACCCCTACAAAAAACAATGGTATCTCTTACAATCAATAAGACCACCCTTTATTCAAATATATGGCATAAAACAATTTTACGCATTCTACTTTACTTCCTCTAAACGTCAGGTCAAGTTTTGGGTAAAAAATTGTTGAAATTGGCTCATTTTCTTGGGAAAATGCCTGTTACCATGGAAACAATATATTTTTTTTATTTTATTATCTCGTTTTTTTCATATTCACCTAAAATGTAATCAATTACCAAAATATGAAGAAAATCTATTTTTTTAGTTTGGCCAACTTTTTCTGAAATTGGCCGATATTTGCAGACAACTGCTTCTAATTTGTGTTGCATCAGGAGTGCATCCACTAACTAAAGGTGCAAGCTTTGTCTACACATCAAATTTTATGCGACAAAAAAAAATGATGTGCCCATATATGGGTACGATTACGTCATATCACAAACTATCAAATTGTATCAAAAAAAGTTTTCCATCACATTTTATTTGACGCTTTCTTGATGAAATTTGATAGTGAAGACAAAGCTTAAATTTTCTACAATCAGTACACTCTTCCCTTATTATCAGCTATTTTGAAAGATTATAATGATGATAACCCTGCAATGTTTGTTTACGAAAATAGCATTTCTATTTCAATGCATTATCGCTACCGATGCATCTGTCATTTGCTTTATTGCATTTGGATTTTTATCTGAACAGCAAATATGTTTTAGAAATAGAATGCGCTCAATCTTCGACGTCAAGAAATGAATTATTAGATTTATTTGTTTACTCAATACTTTCTAATAGCATTTGCAAGCGTAGTTATACGCAAAAACCGCATTTCCGTATTAGTGGTTTTTAATAAGACTTTCACTGTGTAAAGATAGATATATTGCAGTAGTAGTAATGGTAGCAACCTGTTTACTTCAAAATGTATAAGGTATTAATTACAGCGAACGAAGGCGGACCATTGCGTTTTAAAGTAGATTGTTAATGCCGCCACACACGGAAGAACAAATAATCTACGTAACAACCACTTCTAAAGGAATTCGTCAGGTGTTCAAGATTTGTTGATAGGCTTTTGATAAATCGGATCAGGCATTCAGTCTGACAAGTCCAGATGGAGTATTCGGGCCTACTTTTTGGAACCAAGTACCTATTTGCTGAAGCAATCGAGTATAGGTACCAATGTTAACATGAATATAGAAAAGTTAAACTTCTTTTTTTTTCGGAGTTTCTATTGTTGCTTAGTTTGCCAATCTTTGCCGTCGTTTCATGCCGGTTGATTTTTTCCTTCAATATATTTTTAGTTGCTTAAATGGGAAATGACAATGCATCAAATATTGTCAACATCGGCGCATACGACGGAACTGCTTCGTACCAACCACAACTTCACTGACAAATATAATTTTTGCAGCAAGGAAGTGGTAGTTCACAATGCATCGGATTATTTGTACACGAATTGGGAGACTATTGCTACCATATACATTTTACCAATTATACTGGCACTCGCATTTCTCACCAATTCCGTGTTTCTCATCGTTGTTGCGCGAGCACCTCGTATGCACACAACGACAAATTTGTATCTAGTGTCGTTAGCAGTGACAGATCTTATATATACCACGACCGGAATAACAGAGAAAATTTATAAATATCTTGGTTCGCCAATTTACGGTGACTTTGTATATTCACTAGATATATCTTGTATGCTGGTACCTTTAATCAAAAACACCGGGTTGTTTGCGTCGCAGTTTTTGGTTGCTGTATTTTCATATGAAAGGTATTGCGCGGTTTGTCATCCACTGACGTCCCATCGAATCGGTTCGAAACGGCGTGCTTATAAACACATCACGATCACCTGTGTAATATCATTGGTACTTGCTGCTTCTATAGTGACGTCCAGTGCTAAAAGGATAGTGTATTGCATGGTCTGGCCCGCAGACGAGGAGACGTTGTTTCTCCCCGATACAAGAATTATATGCGCGCCGATAAAAGAGGGGTATATGTGTTATGCCGAGTTCGCTCAAACTATTCCCTTTTTTACTGTTATGATTTTTAGTAATACAGCGTACGTTTTAATCATACGAGAAATAAGAAGCAGCGCCCGAAATACAAAACTGAAGAGAGCAGACTCTAAACGGCCAATTAAGGAGAGCATTCAGATTACAAAAATGTTAATAATAAACGGTGCTTTATTTTTCTTTCTAATGGCGCCATTTCATACACTTTCATTATGCACTATGATCGGTAGAATGCGCGGCGGTATTTACGCATTGTCAGACGACACGTATAGGTGCTTGCTTCAGGCTTTTCGTATTCTTGCTTACTACAATGCTGTTGTTGATCCGGTTATCTATAGCGCCGTTAATCCCTCGTATCGGAATGCCATGCACCACGTACTTTGCGCGCCATTGAAACTAAAACGCAAAAGACAGAACTCTTCGTATAGTATGTCTTATCTGCTTTCAGAACGCGACAGGAGGCCTTCAAACACACTTACAACAAGTATTTAGGAATTGGCTGTTACCTTTGTTACCAATTACGAACTCGACACAACAACACAAGGCGCCCGGTTTTGTTGTAGTTATGTCATAATGTACAGAACTACCGTGCAACATTTACCACTATGGTTAAGACATACAGGTAGCATTAGGGTTTCAATATCATCAGGTTTTCGGGATGTCCAATCCTGATACAAGCATTTTAATATGACGACGCTTTATTCCAGCCTGGCCTACATAAACGGAAAAACTAGACTAAGCCAAGTTGGGTCACTCATTGAACAAATAGTGGAAGGGGCGGGGTCTATTAAAACATTAAACACAGTAGACAGTTGAAATCGTTCTAAATTACTTACTGTTCTACGTCGATTATCAATTTGTATACAATACCTGTCTATTTAAGGCTTATTCAAGTGCTATAACACATCACAGTCTTATCTGTAAGTGTTGCTCTGACGTGACAATGTGTTATTTATTGCCGTGGGAAAAAGAACAGCATCAACCAATTGTGGTTTCTATAGTTATCGTTTGAGAAATGCACTCAGAATTTACATGCACTTATCGCTCAAGATACGTTGAAACGTTAAAAAGCACGAACGCAAAACAAGTAAAACACACTGGAAGTGAAACATCGTGTCAGAATCGATGTATACTACGTAGGCCCCAGTAATACAAACAGATGTTAAAATGGAACTTTCTGGTAAGCATAGTCCCTTGTGTATTATTGCTTATATCTCACAATACAGTACCAACTACCTGCGTTCCATACAATTTACCTCATTGGCGACCGCGGCCGATTCGGGCCAAGTACTGTACTCGGAAAGTAAAGCATTCGACTTATGAACACCATTAAAAAAAACTCAAGAATGTTGTCGTAATCATACAAAATAATGGTTTTACTTCATAAATCTGAACTGACTTTAAGTAATCCGAAATGTTGATGAAATGATCAATAGTAAAAATTTGTAGTGTCTTAAAAATTGTATATAAAACTATTTAAAATAATTGTATATTTAACAATTTTTAATTCCCTTTCCCGTTTGTTTAGTGTTAGCTTCCTTCATTTATAACCATAGGAAAAACATCAAGCAAATATTTTTCAACTGATTGTGGTTTCTGTTTGGTTTTGTTACAGTATTGATTACAGCACAAACAATTCGCAATTTTATATCTTGTTTATTCTATAACTTACAAAGTATAATTGCATATATAAAAAATATATAAATAACTGACATATAAAATTGATGTAAAATTGTAAATGTAAATGTACGTTTAGTTGGTAACCTAGAGATGACCATTTTGAAAGTTTATAGAACTGCAAGTAGTCCGACTGCCCTTATTTCGTATGCACGCAATGAAATGTTAAAAAAAAAAGTAATGCCACGAAATAGGGGGCGCCCTATTAGAATTTGAATCAAAGATGTTATAAACACAAGATGGCTTTCTCTGCGATTTACACGTAACAAATAGAAGCGTCGATTTGGCACAGAAAAGTAATCACTTTTGGGAGAGGGGATCCTAGTCGTTGCCATGGGTCTGTGATAGGGTGTTCGGTTACGCCAATGTTCGGTACTAAGTATATTAAATGTTCCTTAAGCATCGGTTTTGCCTTCCTTACCCTCTGATTGGTTGCGCATTTTTTCTCTTCGCAAAAACTCCGATAGGAATGTGAATGCACATACACCAACACTTTCGATTCCAAGAATAAATTCGCCCAGCTTTAATTGTTCTAAAAAGAGGGTGCATTGTAAATCGGACGCTTTTAATTGTTACGCGTAAACGTAAAGTAGCACGGTGTACACTATGGTCAAATCAGTGAAAGTTCCAAAAGTTTTCATTTTTGCAAGAAGGCGCCGTATACTTCGTTATTACAGAATTTGCATGCGGAAATCGCAGAGAACACTATCCTGTGTTTATAAGATCTTTGATGTAGAATTCGCACGAAACTCGTCTTTTAGGGACTTTTTTTAAAATAGGATATGAAAACCACAACAGTAAGACCTCTTGCAGTTCTATGCTCTTCGTTATTAGGTAGACAAATTCCTAAATTCTAATTACATGAATACGAATTTTTGGACGGAAAAACCTACCGATCTGAAAATTGAATCAGTGTGTAAGTGTAAGAATAGGAATGCAAGCGTTCAGTGCATCAGAAACGCGGTCCGAATTTCGGTTCGGATCCGATGTGAATGCAGAGCGTTCTTTAGTTGTACAATAAAGCTCAATTCACACTCTACACACTAGACGTAACACCATTCCTTCTCTTGTTAAAAAAGTCAGGCTGCGCTGGGCCTGCTATTCGGCACCTAATGTAAAGCGGTCCACACTAAAGGGTGAACGCTGTGATTGCCGTCGGTGTAGCAGCACTTCTTGCATTTGCGTACCTTGTCTAGTGTAAAACTTTAGCATACATACTTTTTATTGGTTAGTGACAATGCAAACTTCTGACAATGCCTAGATGGTTGATTGGAAATATTATTTTTATGTTGTATTTATATATGTTTATATTTATGTTATTTTTGTAATTGATTAAAATAATAAATTGGTGATATAAACTAATCAGTTCTGATCCTGACTCAAGTTTTATATTTATGAAATTGAGTTGTGATATGTACATTTTCGGAAGGCAGTTCAATTCAGTGGCTTTCATTCTGGTTCTTAATGAGGTCGCAAGTTCAAATAACATACTGACCTCTCTTGAACTTGCCATGCTTGAATAACTCAGCTTGTATTGCTGTCTGTCTGAAAAGTTGTTCGGCCTTCAATATGTTTCTGTCCTAGTTGCATTTCATGGTATATAAATACAATTAATAAAAAATTAACCATTTACCTTGAAGTGGCTTCCAGTAACTTGTTGAAGTTATTTCAACAAAACAAGTACATATATTAATACTGATTAGTTTAGTGTCACAATTCCAAAAAAACATACATTATATGACATACATAATTATATAATAGCGTATATATATAATTTCTAATATACAGTATATATAAATATATATAACATCTGATTCATAATAATCATCCAGTTGGAATTTCCATTTGATAAAGCATTTGTATACAGGTGGTCTCAATGCTTCAGTGACATTTCTCGGACCATCGTCGTTTGCCAAGCAAACCTTCAAGATACAATTCATAAGTATATAACACAATAAATAAATCTTCATTCATTTTCAATGAAAAATAACAGTGATTTGTTCTGAAGCACCCTTTGTCTTTACTTCTAAACTGAATGTATGTCCAAGACATTAATGTGAAGAAATAACATTTTAAGAAAAAAAATTAAGTTAGTCCCTTAAAAAAAACATACCTTAATCTCTTTAGGGTGCATCATAAATCATCCTCCTCCACTTCATCCTCTCTATTAATATTATTATCGTCAATATTCTTCCTTGTAGATTCCATTCCAGTCCTTGTTTTTGCCATTAATGGCTTCATAGCAGTTGCTAGGCTTTGGTACAATCGCGGAAATAGAAGTTCCTGAGTGGCTAAGAGTTGCTTTGTTCGATGTCTTTCCTAATAATAATTTTTTAGTATATGGAATATGAAAATTTAAGTAATAATACAATAAAAATAGCAATAACAACAACATTAATAATAATAATAATAATAATAATAATTATAATAATAATAATATGCACTAAGTCAGACTTAAGGGGAATATATTATAATTATTTTCCTCTTAACGTCGTGCTATTTTCCCCTTAACATCGTTTTTAAAATTGTTCTCTAATTTCTCAATTGTCTAAGTTCACCTTAAAGTAGGTTTTAGTAACATAACAATAACAATAATAATAATAGTAATAATAATAATACTGTTCCTATGTTTTTTACATGTAAATTAGCTGGTAATTAATTTAAGGATTAGTGAGTAAATAAATTAACAACTTACTACTATGGTTTGTTTGAAATGATTAAATAAATACTATATCAATTTTATTTCTGAGTCTTATATATAGACAGACTAAGAAAGACACCAGCAAAATCAAAATGATATTTTGCAAATTTAAAATTAAATGTTAGAAAATCAGAAAATTTGTACCTTTGGAGCCTCAAAGCAAGCCGGGCAATTTTCAGCAATAACCGGTAAACACATCTAGAAATAAAAGATAGTAATATAGAATATGTTGGAAAACATATGAAAATGTGAAGCATAATTGTTATTTGGCTGAGTTGAGTGTGAAGCAGGGATGCACCAACATTAAAGTACTGGTTCCAAGACCTTTTATGCTCATTGTTTAAATCTCGAGGACTAAGTCTTAACGGACACGGACTCAAATTGTCGAATACAAAGTCCCATTGTTCATGTATGGCTCAAGCAAGATTCCTTCCTAGGACCACCGCAGAAATGGGGAGGTTGTGGGGTTAACTACATTGGCTGGAGAGAGTTTTAATACCATTTACAACAATACAGTCATATTTACTACTGTCTGTAAAAACCTGACCATACCTCTTTGGCAAATTCTCTAAGGTCTTTTTCTCGAACATACACAAATGGCCTCACAACCCTTAAATCGCCTTCTCTGTTACAAAACATATGGAGAAATGGAAACATAAAAATAAATACATGTAAGATTTGAGTTATATATAATACTCAAATTACAATTCAAGTTTCAATAACATCACCAAAAATCAAAACAAACAAAAATTTTTGAATGAAATTAAAAACACTCTCACTTTACCATTCTAATAATACTGTTCCTATGTTTTTTACATGTAAATTAGCTAGTAATTAAATTAATAACTTACTACTATGGTTTGTTTGAAATGATTAAATAAATACTATATCAATTTTATTTCTGAGTCTTATATAAAAATATAGACAGATTAAGAAAGACACCAGCAAAATTAAAATGATATTTTGCAAATTTAAAATTAAATGTTAGAAAACCAGAAAACTTGTACCTTTGGAGCCTCAAAGCAAGCCGGGCAATTTTCAGAAATAACTGGTAAACACATCTAGAAACAAAAGATAGTATTATAGAATATGTTGGAAAACATATGGAAATGTGAAGCATAATTGTTATTTGGCTGAGTTGAGTGTGAAGCAGGGATGCACCAACATTAAAGTACTGGTTCCAAGACCTTTTATGCTCATGGTTTAAATCTCGAGGACTAAGTCTTAACGGACACGGACTCAAATTGTCGAATACAAAGTCCCATTGTTCATGTATGGCTCAAGCAAGATTCCTTCCTAGGACCACCGCAGAAATGGGGAGGTTGTGGGGTTAACTACATTGGCTGGAGAGAGTTTTAATACCATTTACAACAATACAGTCATATTTACTACTGTCTGTAAAAACCTGACCATACCTCTTTGGCAAATTCTCTAAGGTCTTTTTCTCGAACATACACAAATGGCCTCACAACCCTTAAATCGCCTTCTCTGTTACAAAACATATGGAGAAATGGAAACATAAAAATAAATACATGTAAGATTTGAGTTATATATAATACTCAAATTACAATTCAAGTTTCAATAACATCACCAAAAATCAAAACAAACAAAAATTTTTGAATGAAATTAAAAACACTCTCACTTTACCATTCATTCAACTGACTACTCACTAAACTCACCACTCCATTCACCACTTACTTACATCTAACTCAATTATGTACAGAAACTTACTTAACAACATAGTTGGCTTTCATAGTCCTCATAAGACCATTGTGAAAGATGGACATAAAGAAACTGAAAAAAATAAATTAAAATTGATTAAAATTCAATTCTTGAATTTAGATGGCTGTTGCAATACATGTACAAATCCTTTGAAATAGTAATTATGTTTATTTGCCTCACCTCTCAGCTAGATCATCTAAGTGCTGACCCATTGCAAGTACGTTGAACCCTTCTCGTCTTGCCGCTGCGTATATCCTGCCTCGCTTCATTCGAGAACAAAAGCTACAAATGGACGTACACTCCGGTAGAGCTGCTGCTTGCTCCATGATACCTAACAATCAAAAAAAAAAAAATCATAATTTATGGATCTGATTTCAGTGGTGGATTAAAGGCAGGGGGAGCTGGTCCGGGTCTCTCCCCCCCCCCACCCCATCCTAAATTTTTCAAAATTGTAAAAAATTGCAATCTTTAAGTCTAAGAGTGCCATTTCCAGCCACCTAGAGGTGCCATAATCTTAAATTTTCTTACCTCAGCCCCAAACATGGTGAGGGTGGGGTGGTATAGACCCTCCGTCCGTCAAAGTCCATCCCTGGGCCCCCCTATTTCAAATTCCTGGACCTGCCACTGGATATACTCATGATTTATTTATTATTTTATAATTAATTATGACTATAAATGGTTAACACTGGAAATATATTATTATTATCTTCACTTACACTGTTCCTCATAAAAGTATGGTACCCCCAGCTCTGCCAAGTAACCTTTCAGGGGGCTGGGGTCATAGGTTGATGTTTGTGGGTCAACTGTAACAGCACCAAGGAGAAATTCTATATCCTGGAAAGAAATCAATTAAAACCACACTCATATTTATACAACAATAAAATAGACTAATGTTTCGGATAGACTGATTAAGTGACGTGCTCTTGAGCATATATCTTGCCATGAGTTTGTGCCATACAAACATGTTGTCATTAACTTGATTCCTTATTAATTCCTATGTTGTTATAAACAATGGGGTAGAGATGTTAAAGTCAGACTCCGGAGGAAAAATATTTTTTGATATATTGTAGAACTGATTTTTCTAAAACAGAAAAAAGTTGTTTGACGAAAAACTGGGGAACGGTGAATGAGATACAGATTTTTTTAATATTTAAAAATTGGGGGAAAAAGGGGGCGTAACTGCCCATTTTTACACCTTATTCCCCCAGTTTTTTTAATATTCGAAAATCTGTATCTCATTCACCGTTCCCCAGTTTTTCGTCAAACTACTTTTTTCTGTCTTAGAAAAATCAGTTCTACAAAATATCAAAAAATTTTTTTCCTCCGGAGTCTGACTTTAATAATATTGTGGTAAGGTAGAGTTATGAACTTCTAATCTAGTGACCAGGGTTCGAGTCCAAGGCTGACAACAGACTTTTTCGGTCAGGCACTTTATTCTCACTGTCTCACCTTCTTCTTGGCATAATACTGATACTGTTTGAGTGTGTGGAGCAATGATAAACTGTCTTTTCCACCAGACAAACACACAAGTACTTTGTCCCCTTGCAGTATCATGTTATATTCTTCGAGGGCCTGAAATGGAACCAAATAAATTTGAAATTTTTATCAATAAAGTTTTTAATATACAATTACTAAGCCAGTCAACGACAATGGGAAGGTACCAAATGACCTGCTGTGAGAATGTATCCCCCTCTGCATATATCTACGTTCACAACAATACTTGAGCGGAGGTTTTTGTTTCTGTGGTTGGGTGCTTGCCTTTCAATTATAGGGTAATGGTTTCAAATCCCAGGTAAAGTCAAAACCGAAGCTCTAAGCTCACAATCAAATTTTCTTACCTCAATCGTTGGTTTGAATATGCACTTTGGAGGTGGATAAAACCTTGATTTTCCATCCAATCTTTTCTTCATTTTTGTATTCTGTTTTTGTGGTTTCTGTTGACTTTTGCGAGGTTTTCTTTTAACTATCGGACAACTAGGAAATGTTCCTTCATAGCCAGGATTTGGTGATGTTGAGTTTTTAATTTCTTGGTTTTCAGTTAATTTTGTCAACCTTTCCGAGGACACAGAGTCTAGATAATCATTAGGTTTATCTTCTAATGATTTTAAATCTTTCTTCAGATCACCTTTAAATTCTGGTGCAGCCATCTCTGAAGATTTGTGTTCAGTGTCAGTATGCTCTGGACTTCCATCTCCTGCTGCTGCCACGTGATCCTCATAAAATTCTTGGTTTACTGACTTAAAGAAACACATTGCATTACTATTTTCAATTATATTCAGATTCATATGCGTTTGACATGGTAAACATTCTCCAGTTTGATTCTGGATGCTGACATCATCTGGTGATGTGCGGGTCACTTTCCCCACTTCTTTTTCTGTAGCAACATCAACATCAAGTGATAAATCCTCAGATGATAATTGTCTGCCAATCACTGGTGAGTCCATCGCCACTTCTGCACCTTCCTCTTTCACCTCCTGTGGTGCTGTATCAGAATCAGAATCATTCGGTGGACGGAATGGCAACGCTTTTACTGTGGAACTACTAGGGTCTCGCTGGATCTGCATAGCTTCACTAGGAAGCATAAACCATCGCAGAGATTCTGCTCGTTTGTCAAAGAGTAGGGTTTGGTCTGGGAGATCAATCTGGCAAAAAAAAGTACGCACATGATAAAAAGATACAAAATTGGTAAATAACCACATAATAGCACCCAGGTATACTAAAACAACATGAATCACAAAGAGGTGAAGTAAGAAATGCACTATTGAAAAATTAGTGAATGGTTTGAGAAAATATTATAACACTATTAAATACTATATACTTACATTTACTGCTGTGTTGAATATTTCATTGGCCAAATTCAGACAATCCTGTTAGAAATCAAATAATAATAAAATAATATTGACTGATGAACATAATATATTATAATGATATAATGTTGACAAGAACAATAATAAGAATATTCACAAAATAATATAAAAAAATTATTATATTAATAATAATTAAACTATTAACTAAATTATATATTTGCAGAAGAGGTCAGAGATGAACTCAATTTTGATCACATGAGTTTTTGAGGTAAAAATATAGGCCTATCACTTTTTGTTATACTGTTGTTAGATATTATAATCCAAAAACAAATGATATTTGATGGTTAACACTATTATTACTAACAAATATTAGACAATTTACAAATACACAAGAGAAGACCTTAATCAATATATCAATTACCTCATAGTCTTCTGGTGACCGCCCTTTGTTCTTCGGTGCTGGGAGGTTAGGGTAAGTTAATTTACCAGATGAATACGAGATCGAACCAAGCCATCGGCGGTCTCTAAACACTTGGTGATTACGTTGCTTCCATTCACCGGTTTCAGGATTAAACATATACTGAAAAAAAAATACAATATTATTCAAGCAAGTTACATATTTGCTTAGTTTGAAAAACACCCAGTATGAACAGGCTGAAACCAAATTTTTTAAATGACTTCTCAATGAACATTATTCATTATTTCTACATACTGTAGTACACCACTAAAAATCCTTAAATTATGAACAAAATTTTGAACAGTATTATAACTATGGCTATAGTGTGGAAATTATTTTCATTTTTTTTTATTGAAAATATGCTTAAATATACAAAGAGGCTACTTAAATAATTAATTTGAATGAAGTTTATTTGCTCTAACACAAACTATATACCTGTATATTTGAGGTCTCACTTTGAAATGAGACGCATCGTTGGGCCAAATAAAAAAAAAATGTGTTGGCCACGCCCTTCTGACACAAAATGTACGAAATTGAGGTTCAGCATTTTATTTTTATTTTTTTTTTACTTTTGACTTTTCCTACCAACCAAAACTTTTTTTTTGGCCTTGGTGAAATCATGAGATATTCACCAAAATAAGTCAAAGTCAAAATTTTTATTTCAATGTTTTTGAATAACTTGATAATTATATTTTATGACTGTATACTTTATAAGAGTGTTCTCTGCACATGCTGTGTAATTATAGTCCTATTATTTGCGCAGGTTACTTTATCTTTGAGGCCGATTTTCTCAAAACATGGTTCTTATGAACCTAATTTTAAATGCTCACATCTCTGGATCTACTTATCCTAGGAAAGCCATTCAAAGAGCAAATCAAAGCTCACAATGTGATCTGCCCAAATCTAGTATAGGTTTTTTAACCATGAGACTCATTTAGTGGTGAGACCTCACATAAAACTTTAATTCTGCAATTGACCAAAAATGGCAATTTTAATATCTGATGCATTGTGCATTATAAGAATTTGCCATTTCGTTTCCACCTTAAAAGCAAACTTTAACTGATCAATTATTATATACTCTTCAGTTTACTCTCTGTGTCAGCGTGTACGAAAATCAGATTATCCAAAAACAAACAGAAGCAAATGTGCCTTGTATGTACGAACCACACTCAGCATATTTGCACAATTCATCACCTTTCTGACACCTAACTTACTTGCGGTAACAGCTTCCATCCTTCATCCGCTACCATGGCAACAGCAGAAACAACAAAGTCAACTGCCGCATCGCTCATGAAGTAAGGCAAGTTGATGCGAGAAAATCCAGGCCTGAAAGATAGATAACATCGTACATAGATTGAATTACTTCACATACAATTGATTCAGTACACTGTAATGTACAAATAACACTTTGTACTATATTACAACCTTTAACTAGCATTAGGGGGATGAATAGGGTAATCAATAATACAATAATAATAAAATATTAGTAGTCATAATATAACAATATTATACATATTAATAGTGGTAAGCTATAAAATGGTGAAATTTCGCCCTCCGTCCCCTCAATTTCGTTTTTTTAGCCCGCACTCTCCCATTTTCCAACCAATTTTCTTTAAAAATGTCAAAATGTTTAGCACAATAAAGCCACTTCATTTAAGACCTGTACATTTGGTATTTGAAACATCACCCTTTTTTTGGCCCTATATAGCCCACCACTAATATTAATATTCATAGAACAGTACAATAAATTAATAATAGTAAAATGTAATGTTCTTAATTATAATAATAAAAAAGAAAGCAACAATAAAAAAAACCCCAATAATAATAAAACTATTAACTATAATATTAATAATTAAGAATATTGAAAATTTATAATAAGGAATTTACACAAAAAATCAGATGCTCAAAATACAAGGTTAGGTTCTAATAGGTTAGAGTTGGAATAACAAAATAAATGGTATTAATTAATAATGATCATAAAATATATATAATAATGATTTTTAATACCTTAATATTTCCCTTTCAGAGTATTCTTGATACCTTCTCAGGTGAGTTCTATCTAGTCGGCTAAAAAGCAATATCACATGAAAATATACTTTATTGTAATATTATAATTATAAACAATACTTTTTTCATTGAAAGTTCTTATTTGTTCCTATTAAGTGTAAAATTATTATCATTTTTATGTGCACTATTGAATATTCAAAATCAATTTAACCAACATATAAAAGATATTTACTATACCTGTCCTCTAACAAGAGTGATTCAATTTCTTTAGCTAGTTTTTCATCTATTCCCAACAGGTCCTGTAATGATAACATATCATCTGTGTAGCCAGAAGGTATTAAAAACTGTAACAACATTAACAGTTATTAAGCACCTGGTCAACAAGAAAAGAATGAGCTCATACACTGGTACAGTAGAAATGAATACAGTACACGAGAATGGGCATACAGTATAAACAGCTGAACATCAGAGCATACATACCTGAGCATAAATAAAGTAGTGTAAACTTGAGCAGTTGGTGATATAGTGCATACTGTGCTTGAGCATACGGTGATACAATATTTACACAAGCATATATGCATACAGTATACTTTATTTGAGCATACAGTACATAGGTGATATTTTGGGATGCTGTATATATCCAAGCATGAGGCATAAAAAAATGTATCTGAGCATACAGTGATGAAGAACATACCCAAGCATGCATATGGTGATACTGTACATACCTAAGCATACAGTGATATAGTACTTACCTGAGCAAACAGTGATACAGTATGGTCATGAGCATACAGTGATAGAGTATACATGTGAGAAAACAGTGATACAGTGCATACATGAACATACAGTGATATAGTACATATGTGAGCATACAGTGATGCAGTAGATGCATGAGCATAGAGTGATAGAGTACATACACAAGCAAGCATATAGTGATGCAGTACATACATGAGCATACAGTGACAGAGTACATACATGAGCATACAGTGACAGAGTACATACATGAGCATACAGTGACAGTGACAGAGTACATACATGAGCATACAGTGACAGAGTACATACATGAGCATACAGTGACAGAGTACATACATGAGCATACAGTGACAGAGTACATACATGAGCATACAGTGACAGAGTACATACATGAACATACAGTGATACAGTATGTACATGAGCATACAGCGAGTGTATTACGGTACACAAGATTCTTGATGGTAATACAGTATGTACCAGAGCATATGGTGATACAATACATACAGTACCTGAGCATATAGTAATATAGCATATATATAAGCATACAATGTGATAGACAGTGGCATGGCTAGAGGTTTTGGCACCCAAGGGAAAGAGCAGAAAATTGGGCAACCCCTTCCCCCCCCCCCCAATTATAATTTTTTTTTTTTTTTTAAATAAATTGATATTGGTTTTACAGGCTTTAAGCATATCCGTACAGTACGTACTATCATGCACTGTCAAAATAAGTACTGTCTAAATAACATTATTTAAACCCGAATAACTACTGTATTATATTCTAGCTCTTACATGTTCTTTCTTACCGGGGGTGGCGCCAGGATTTGACCGACAGGGGGGCCTGAGGTCCGGGGGGAGGGATTCCCCGATGAAGAGTAAGATTTCCCCGACGAGAGCAAAGTGGGCATGGTCGAGCGTCGCTTAAAATTTTAGATTCAACTACAATAATATGTACAAAATACATTATTTTTTTCTCCCCGGCAAATTATGGTTTTTTTTCATACAATCACATGACACAGTGCATACATGAGCATACAGTGTTACAGTACATATGTGAGCATACTGTGAGTAACACATCACATACCTGAGCATATGGGCCAGCACACGCACACCCTCCTCTTGCTTGTATACCAAAGACATCGTTAAGCACTGCACAAATGAAGTTATGGTGCAGGAACTGTCTTGTGGTGGGATGCCTTATAAGGAAACTGAAGATGGGAAGTCTTGTGCAAGACTTGTTGCCAAGTAACACCAAATTTTTACAAGTTTTCCAAGCAGCCAGTGCTCTCCTTTAAAGGAGGGGGAAAAAAACCCAAAAAATATTGAAACTTTAAATTTTTTTTTTTTTTTTTTTTACTCTTTATTCAAATACACATCAAAATCGCAGCCAAGGCTGAATTAATTGATATTTACAAAAATATGGCAAGTAGGCAAATATAAAAACATATCAAATACAAGCACAAGACATAAACAATGGGGATAAAAGTAAAAATACATTAAAATGGGAAACATCAGAAGTACACAACAGGTTAAAAAAAATATATACGTAATAAAATTGATTATTTTAATTATTAATCAATCACATAAAAATCAATTATACTTAAGATGCAAACAGATGGAACTAAACAAAGGAATTCCTTACGGAAAACAGGAATTATAGTGCGAAAAAATACACAGCAAAACTGCGAATGACGACAGCTAGAAAGCGTCCTCTTTAATTGATTATTAAATGGGGAATTGAAGTCTATCTTTAAATTGTAGATTAAAGTCAATAAAGTTGACTCACTTGCTAAGCTGGTGCTCCTTCTGCGTTATCACATCAGCTCCAACAGCCTGTATTGTAAAATAACAACAAGTAACGTTATAATCAAACTGGTGGATAATAATAAAATTACAACATACAGAGAACAGTTATCTATTAATCAAGGAACAGTATAAATTAACAGTGATTATTTTCTTTATATTTTTCTTACCTCCTTCAGCTGAAACACCATACCAGCTCTAATTGCTCCTACTATAGAGGGTGTACCGCCTTCCTCTCGCATTTCAACTTGCTGTAAATAACGATGACTTTCCCTCGTTACCTTTGGATTAGAAAATAAAAAATCAACTATATTGGAATTCGGAAGATAATAAATGGGTGTAAAATCTGCTTACAATCAACAATAACATTATCAATAATCAATAACAATATACAGGTAATTATTACAAACAACAACAAAAATGAGACTGGTAACTGCAACAAAATTGTGTTTTATAATATTCATCTTCAAAATATAATTTTTTTTTTTCTTAATATTACCTCAATTACCATAACCAAAAAAATATATTTAAAAAATGGTTAATAAATTCTTACAAAGAATACAGATCCGCCACCTCCTCCATCAGTTGGCACTGGATTTCTGAAGAGTCTCTTTTTTGCGATCAATATTCCTGGAGTCTCGACGCCACCAACAAACTTATGAGGAGATAGGAATATCGCATCTTTATAGGCAAGGCCTGGGTTACTGGTAGTAAAATAAAGAAACCAAGAATTGTTGTAACATTAAATTAAGTTCCCTTTTATATTCATTGATCATCCAACAGCCTCGCGATTAATACACCACATGATGCTAAAAGTTTTATTAAGTTTAAGACAGCATACATAACAGAAAAAGTTTGATAAGATTTAGTAAAAAAAAACCAACTGCTGTATGCCCATATATAGGCATGATATGCCTATTTATGGTCATGATGTCATCAAGACCATATTTGTTAGGCATATCACATGTTTCCATTAAATAACATTTGATAGTTTGGACAGAGCTGAAGCCAGGTTTGATGCAAGCCATAAGCCATGAATAAATTATTATTAAACTCAACTATGTTTGATCAAACTTTGTCTGATGAATTATAGCACTATCAGACATCCAACACACAGCGGAAAAGAACACAAATTGTTTGATCACACTAAAAGTGGACATATCAGATGAAGTAATCAAGACCACATTTTTGTTGAGCTTGACAGACAAAAAATATAAAAGTATTGTATATGCTTTCTTTAGTTTAAGCATATTTAAGAAAATTTAGTTCATTTTTACTCATAAAAAAAATGGTATATACAGTTATTGCGCAAGACCTTTTAGATTAGCCACCACACCATTCCATTTCTCACCTTGTAACAGGATTCATATCGATCTTGACATAAGGACCTGAAAAAAAAAAGCAAGATTAAATATTAACTTCAAAATGAAATAATGTTTATCTACTTATTTATTTTTTAAAATTTATTTATTAACCAAATCAACAGCAGACACAAATCCGCCACTTACAGAATGGTACACAAGACAGGAAACAGAAAACACTAACAAAGAAAACACTTGACTAATCACATTCAATATAGTGCAACGAAAAATAGGTAAGTAAAAATAAAAAATATTAATATTGGGATAGGCCTCAACTAAATTATTATAAAGATATATTTAATCTACTAATAATCCCATTTTTTAAAACATTAACTCTACTAAAAGGGATATGAAAAACATTGTTATTACTTAAATTGCAAACAGGAACACGGAAGCCAATACAAGGAACTAAATCAGTCACAAAGAAACTAAATCACAGTCACAAATTTTAAATAAAAATAAAAAACTTTTTTATCTAACTAATGATATTCATACCAGCTGTAGCGTAGTCCCAGAAAGCAAGGGCATCGTGGTGGTGAAGACATGTTGTTATTGACTCAGTATCCACTTCAATTCCAGTGATGTTCGATGCAGCTGAGAAACAACCAATCAACTGCTTTCCAGTGGACTTCCATTTCTATAAAATAAATTAAATATACAGCTAAAGTTCGCCAGACTAACTATCTTACTCAGTTTTTGTCTGATAGATAAATTAGATCAAACAAATCATTTTTCTACTTCCTTCACATTGAACAGCAAATTATCAAATTACAGGATGGAAGCATTTTAATGCCGGCACTTGCTGCGTCTGATGGCCGTCTGCCAACGCAATTCTATGAAGCTCCCAGACAAGGCCTAGCAGCCCCCACCACCATTCGGGGAAAAATTGTGTTGAATACGGTATTCATTATTTAAATAGGATAATTTGATAGAAATCCATGCAAGTTAAGTGGCCCCCCTGTCAGGTGTACTAACCACCTATCGGAGGTACCAACCCCCTTTCATGAAGCTTAGGGAGTGGAGCTGTTTTATGTTATAAAGTGTGTCATGTCTGTTGTGAATTGGACAATGCTCTGTTGCACAACCAAATGTCAGAAAAAGGGATGATCATTTTTCGGGATTTTATATAATTTATCATCAATTTGGAACTACTTTTATATTACTACTTTTTATGATATTATTTTTACTTTATTCATAATTAACTACAAAAGGAACTTCGTACCTTTAATTCCTCCTCCAGGTGATTCATGTTGACTCCTCCTTGTGAATCTTGTGATATTCGAACAACCTGAAAAAGAAAATTACAGTTACACATTTATTTTCAAATTAAAAAAAAAAACACACACACACAATTAAACACACTTTTGACAGACCACCCAGAAATAATGCAACTTGGATTACCTTGGCTCCAATTTCCCTCCATGGTAAAAATGTTGAGTGATGCTCAAATGGTCCAACAAAAACAACCTAGCGAGATAAATGAATGATATTAATTAATTAGTTATGAATACAGTGGCAATTTGAGCATTGAAAATACGGGGCAGAACTTGACAAGTAACAAAATAAATATCAATTATTTAAAGGCTGTAGTTTGAAGTTAAAGATGCTTGCCTTCCAATACAAGGGTCATTGGTTCTAATCCGAAACAACAATTTAGTTCGGATTTTCTAAAACAAACTCCACTCTCTAAGCCTAATAATAATGACTTGTCCATATATGGGTGTGATGTGACATCATCATGTCCAAATATGGGTGTGCCATGACATCATCATCAATATATGGTCTCCACATATATTTGTCACAGATAACTTGACAGTGCTGACAAATCATTAGCATATCTATCATTAGCATATCATTAGCATATCTTGCTATTTATAAATTAATTATATTGAAGGAGAAGACAATCTGAAAGGAAACAATATCAAAGGAAGATGGGACAATATGATCTGAATTGACAATATTTTCCTAAGGATAAATTTTATAAACTAAAGATAATATTATGCTAGCGAAAACATTATAACAAACATTATAAAGAAAACAAGTATATTACCGGAGGTGTGCTCAGGTTGAGGGCGTTGAGTAATTTATGTACCGCAGCTGTGCATCCATTGCCAACGAATATAACAGCGTCATGCTCACTTGCTTTCACGGCGTTACGAATTATATCTCTGTCAAATTGCGAAAAAATATGTTTCTTCTTTTTCTTGCTCAGTTGCCGCTTTCATCAATATATTGACGATTTTCAACAGACTCATTTTGTTTAGGGTTTCATATTTTTTAAATTTTCAAATGATAGTAGTCAGGTCAGATTCTACCAGCTACTGGTAACCATGTAAACCAGTACATGGTCAGCAACTAAACCGGCTCACCCACTGGGGCAACCCAGGTGAGGGGGTGGGGGGTGTGTGGACCCCTGGCAGGATTAAAAATGTTAAAGCACAGGTGAGTTCATGGAGGAACCAAAGGGCATCCACCCTTTCCCATAGGGTGATAGGTTAGTGGTATGCCAGAGCAGGCTCACTGTAAAAACAAACGCTCCAATAGTAAAATGACACAAACAAACGAGGGCAGCATCCAGCCCGAAGGTTGCCGTGGGCCACACCTGTCTTAGACGAAAAGGAAGGTGCAAGCCCTCGACAGAGAATGCGAAGACCTGTTTTTCCTTTTGACGGTCCAGTGTTATCATGGCCATGAATGAATAAGTAAAATATAGGAAAAAGTATAGGTATAACCTCTTAATTTCTGCATGTGACTAAGCTTACTACAAAAAATAATTAAGTTAAAGCTACCTCACTGAGTAAAGTTATGTAGAAATCTTTATAATAAAAACATCAAAATCATAATCATCTTCACAACAATCATTAAAATAATCATCATCATTCATCACAATCATTTTAGTAATTATAATAATTATAGTAATCATAATATTAAAAACCATAAAAATCATCATAACATAATTATCATTATAATAAAAATAATCATCACCATATTCATATTAACCATAATAATAATAATAATAATAATCATCATTATAATAAACATCATGATATTCATGATAATAACCACCATCATAATCATATTATCATAATCATAATAATCATCACATAATAATCATCACACAATAATCATCACATAACAATCAACATTAACATAATCAACAAATCATAATCTATAATTACTTGTTAACACCAGAATACTGTACCTTGCTTCATGAGGAAATAGAGTTGTCGGTTGTTGTTGTTGTTGTGTGTGTGTGTTTTCATACACTGACAACTTTTCAATTATATAATCATCAATGTCATAATAAAACATCACATAATAATAATCATCATATCATTATCCTCATAAAAATCATAATAGTACAGTATATACCGTATACACCAATACTGTACCTTGCTTCATGAGGAAATAGAGTTGTCGGTTGTTGTTGTGTGTGTGTGTGTTTTCATACACTGACAACTTTTCAATTATATAATCATCAATGTCATAATAAAACATCACATAATAATAATCATATCATTATCCTCATAAAAATCAAAATAGTACAGTATATACCGTATACACCAATACTGTACCTTCCTTCATGACGAAACAGAGTTGTCTGTAAGGATGTCACTGTAGTTGTTGTGTGTGTGTTTCCATACACTGGCAACACCTGTTCCCTTATGTAATCCTCAATGAATTTCAGTGACCTGGTATTAGTAGTAGAAACACAGTTTCAATTAGTAGGCTGACAGATTTTAAGAGCAAAAATAAGTGGCCATTGTTAAAAATATATTAGAATTAATAACAATTATCAATAAGTCACAATGATATGATAGTGATACTCACCTTCCGGAAGCTGTATAATCACAATAGGTAACTGAAGGTTTAAAAAAAAAAAAATCAATTTTTATTAATTTCGGAAACTAAATTCAGGTAGAAACACTTGTTAATAACTTTGAATAGATATGCAAAGAGAATGAGAGCTTAAAGGATTTGCAACCCCTGGTCGATATCCCATAATTTGATAAATTAAAAAAAAAAACACATTTAAATTAACAATTCAATTTACAAAAAAGCATTTTCAGAAATGTACTGATCTGAACTTTTTGTTTATGGCTTTAAGCTTAGGCCTAATTAGTATTAGCATGGAGGTATGAAATTATTTAAAACTAATTTTATTTATACCTCCATGCATGGTACAGTAGGTAGGCTTATAAAGGCCTTGCCAAGCACTTGGAAAAAAAAAACATAATAAATGGTAAAACATAATAAAGGAAATTCTTTCTCTCCAATTGAGAAGATTTCAATGCAAAATATTTTGTTTTTTGTTTTTAGTGTTTTCTTTTGCCTCTTTTAACTGCCGACCTTGCGTAATAATTAGTGGCCAATGCCCAGCCGTCGGCAGAAGTTTGGTCACTGATATATAGAGTGAGTGAGCGAGCCACCAACCTGTTCGTTGACCAAATGGCCCAGCAAATGATGTATTGTTGCCTAACACATTTTCGTCGATATACTTTAACAAGGACTTTGTATCAGATTTCCTGTTGTCGTAACTATTTTTCTGACCTAAAGGAACATTCTTGGGTATTTCATAAAAAGTTCTATACCCATGTATACAGTTTTTTTGCGTATTTTCTTCGGTGCTCTTGGTGCAAGCTCTGTTGTTGATGGGGGCTGCCATCTTCAATTAAAACAGCACCACCAACGGTGATAATGTTTGTTTATTTCAAACGTAGGCGGCAGCAGTCTAGTCAAATATGGCAACAGCAATGGAAGTAGATCCACCGTCAAGCTCAACTTCCAAAGGGGATACAAAGAAACGATTTGAAGTTAAGAAGGTATACATTTTCCATAATTTCCAAACTATATCATTTGTTTCTGTGACACTATTTTTAATAATCTGTTGGGCTATTTATACTGGTAATTACATTATCTGGTAATAACCTAGGCTAGGCCAGTCAGTCGCTCAGTCAGAGAGACGGAAAGTGATGGAATACACCACGCCCGGAATGGTTCGCTTGTCATGTCTTTAAATAGATTTGACGATATCGACATGGCCTAGGCCTAGACTTATGTAAGAAAAAAAAAAGAAGATTAATCGTATTCTATTAGCCTACATACTGAATGTAAATTTTTCGAATGCTCGACCCAAATGTCGACTCTTTTTTTTTCCATTTTAATTTACAGTGGAATGCTGTAGCACTTTGGGCTTGGGATATTGTTGTTGACAACTGCGCGATATGTAGGAATCACATCATGGATTTATGTAAGTACACCAAGAGGCCTGTTGGTTGCCTATACAGAAATACAATGCATCTTCTGCTTTTTACGTTGAATAATTTGTTTCATAAGTTTGTGTCATGAATTCCTACTTGATGTATTTCGTATTTCCGAGCGGTATAGAAATGACTAGGAATCCCTCTTTGACATATAAAATATAAATTGACATATAAAATATAAACACAGCTCACAATGTTGTAACACAACTAAAAACAATCTTTTATTCTGTATAAACTCCAACAAGAATCCAGTCTGAAATTGATACACACAGAACATAAACATGTGTTTCAAAAAGAGCTTCTGAAAAACCAAGCTCTCACCTTATATATACATTAGCTCTAGAACTACAGAGCATTCAAGAGCATTCTACATTGCCTAAGTTCCTCATTGGTTACCTTACATCATAATTAACCAATTAGGCTTATTTGCCTCTATAGTACTCATGATTCCAGAAGCTTCCAAATATTACTCTTGGATTCTACATAGTATTTTGTATTGTACTACAGGTATAGAAATATTTGATTGGTTTGAACAGTAAGTACAAACTCAGCGAAAAAGTTATATAACCAACCGAAGCTGAATATTTTCTGTTGAGCACGAAAATTCCCATTCGAATACAACAAATTTTTCGTGTTGTAACCAATGAGTTTCCTTGAATGTAGTCTTCAGTATTGATTTTAAAACTGGGGTTTTTTTTCTCATTAAAATACAGGTATTGAGTGCCAAGCTAACCAGGCCTCAGCGACGTCTGATGAATGTACAGTGGCCTGGGGAGTGTGCAATGTAAGTGAAACATTTCTTATGGATTTGGAAATGTAAATGAAATATTCTCTAATCTCTCTCCAAACTGTCTTAATTTTCTTTGACAAAAAACTGCTGTATGCCCATATTTAGTCATGATGTGCCTATATATGGCCATGATGAGTTGTCATCATGACCATATATAGGCATGTCATTTGATAGCCTGGACAGTGCGTAAAGGGACCATTAGAAATAATGTAGCGTCAGGATTATAAAGGAATTAATCCTTGGGGAATGTGTATTCGAAATAAACTAACTCAAGGTAGTGATTGAGATATGTAAATGTAACATGTCTTTCCATTAACATCTTAACTATGTTATTATGCCAATTATTTATTAATCATACATTCTATTCCTTTCCAGCATGCATTTCATTTCCATTGCATTTCCCGTTGGTTGAAGACAAGACAAGTATGTCCATTAGACAACAGAGAATGGGAATTTCAAAAGTATGAAACACATTGTTTTTTTAATTTAAAACGGAATTTACAATAATTAATATTTCCATGTTAGTCTCTCTCCTTAAATTCTATAAACTTTATTTTCTGTAGCAATGATAGTTTACTTATTAAGGTGATGATGATAGTGACAATGATGATGTGTATAAAAAAGAAATCAAAAGTTCTTTTGACCTCACATATTTTCATTAATTAATTTTATCTTTTTCAGATATGGGCGTTAATAGTTTGGTTTACATTCTCCTATCAAAAATATTCAGAGGACACACATCCGAGGAACACGGTCATGATAGTGCCCCAATGATTTAAGTCCATCAATCTACCAAAACAAAATGTAGTATTCAATTAATAAAGAATAATTAAATTTGATAGGAGAATTATTTCAAAACAAGTTATTTATGCAAAGTTAACTGTTTAACTTAGCCCGGCATACCTTATGAGATTTTTGTCGTCAGAATTATTAGTTTAATCAAACAATATCTAATAGGGTATGCCGAGCTTTAGACGTATCCGACAGATATGTTCAAATATGATTGTACTGCCATAACACTGAAAAAACTATCTGAATAGTGGTAAAAGCTTTTGCTTTTGGTCTCAAATTGATCCATACTCTAAGACTATGAGGCAATATAAAACCGACTAACTAAAGCCAGGCCATCACTACGTTGTATGGCCGACGAATGCACTCACCGTTACAGTCTGAACAGATCATCAAGAGTGATCCGTTGTGCACGTCGTAGCATTGCGTTCTCCGTAGTCATGTCGACTGACGGGCACAGCAAGTGCTCATCTTAACATGCCTCAGTCTGATGGCAGCTTGTACCTTCCAAGAAGTATCTGATATATCTACCAGCTTTTTGCAAAGTACCATACAGTAAGATGTCAAGAAGTATCTTGTAAGTTAACAAGTTACAAAATTTCAGAACTGTATTGTACACTCATTGAATAAAAAAAAAGACAAGGAAAACATAGTTGAGTGTATTCTTGTGTAGTTTCTGTTCCATCAGGCATGAAACTGGAAATGTAATCACAGTATATTTACAATCATGTTATTATTGTATGCAAGGGTGGGGTTAGAATTTTTTTATACCTAGTTTGAGAACTTAGTTCGTTCGGGGAGGGGGGGGCGGAAAAGAATACAGCAAATGGTTTCGGCAAAACATCCAGATGAAGGAGAAAAAGGAAATAAAATGTTATTGTTGAATGTAAACTGTATGTTAATGGAATGGTTAAAAGTTTTAAATTTATATAATTAGGGAAAAATATACATATCTTATTTTTGGAGATGTCAAAGCAGCAGTGGGCATAATACAGTAAAAATAAAAACTTTTTTCTGAAATTTCCATTTTTTCATGATGGCAGGTGGCGTGAATTGGACAAAATTGAAATTTACTGTTAATTGAAATCATTATTGGCGGGCGGGGTGTTCGCTAAACAAGGTACAAGTATAAAAAAAGTCTTGCCTGAGGTTGATGTATTGGTTTCAATTTCACTATCACACAGCACTATTTGGCCTGGTTTCAAATTCAAAATGACTTAACCCTGTTTCAATGATTAAATGTTGCCAGATATAGGGATTCCAAGAGCGTAGTCCTACACATCCATTTGTTATTCTCCTAGCAAATCAAACACGCCTTTATCCATTTGTCTCACAAAAGTCGGTGCCGATGGGTGTCACCATGTACATAAGAAAGCTGACTTAACCAGATCTCCCAGAAGGGAGTCCTACCTTTGGAAGTAGTTTGGGGTTTCAATCACTCACTGTGCATTTCACTTGTGTCCTTGGGCAACATACTTTATTTGCATTGCTTCTGTCCACCCAGGGGTACAAGTGGGTACCTAGTACGGTTAAATACCAAAATGCACTGATGTAGCTGGTGCTACGTTATGGAGTACTCCCCATAGGCGTTTAATCCAATGACTGTGGTAATGATAATGTGAAACGCATAGAGGGTCAAGAAATACCACAATAAACACAAATACAATCACTTGAATTTATTCATTAGGCCTAATTCCTAGCAAAGGTAAAACATTAAGGTAAGTAAAATTATCTATTCCTTGAAGTTACTAAGCCTTCCAACGATTAATAGATGGTGTACATATTTCTCCCAAAAGATAAAAATCATAAAATGATTTAAATAATATATGAATTTTTAATTGAGGGAATAATTATATATACTTTATGATCACTGGAAAAATGAGTGAAAAGGATTAAATGATTTAAAATTCTACAGAGAAGTTCTGTATGAAAGTGCATTGGAAGACACAACAATCCAACTTCTAAAATCTGCCTAACATGTATACAGCACTAATGGTAAATCTTTTAACTTTATACATAAAATATACAAGCATCATTATCATATCCTGTGGAAAAGTTTGAAATGGCTAAATAAATTGTACTTCAGCTTTTTAACCTAATTTGATTATACCATGACTGCAGAGTGTCAATTTCTGACGTTACCCATCAACACACACACACACCCCTCACTCTCTCCCCACCCCTAATTACCTTTCCCACCTACCCAAAATGTTTATGTACCATAATATGCACAGGTAAAAAGCATTCCAAAAAGGAACACACACTCCTACACAAAACACCCTGCCCAATAACACACACACAGCCACAACCCCTGTCACATACAGATCGAGCACACAAGTTCACAATCTTTTCTTTCCCTTCAGGAAACAGAATGTATGAATATTGAATTACCATATTATATTTGAATTATTTGACAAATTTGGATAAAGGGATGCTTTTTTTTCAATTTTTCATATAATTTTGCCATTACATAAAAAGAAAAACAAAAAGGAAATTGTTACATTTTTGTAACGATGTTAATCAAAAAATTAACATAGTTCATCTGACCCAAGATATTTTTTTTCCAAATTAATTTCACTTTTGTTATATTTTTTTTTAACTTTTTTCCCAAATTCATACATTTTCTTCTTATATACTTTTGTATACAACTAGAATTATTTCAAGATTTAACACATTTTTTTTAAGTGTTAGATTTTTTTTCTTTTCACTCTTCCAAATATTTTTAAAATATTCAAATAAAGAAAACTGAATGTTACACTCATTCCTAAAATTGAATTGGCATATACGTCAAAAGGTAACAGAAAGGAAACATTAAACTTAAAATACAATAATCAAAATATTCACTAAGGCTCCAATTCTTAGAATTTAAATTTACAATGCAAACTTTTAAGTTATGAAATTCAATTTGCGAACACGCACAAATCCATTAAGCACATCATACAACTTACGTATTGATCACGATCATGTATAATCGTGTGATATAACTCATTTATAAGTTGTTGAGAAAATAAAAAAGTTAAAACTATTTGTAATCAAATTCATATCTATATGACAATATATATGAGAGGGATATGTGATCTGTAGGATATTTTCCTAAAGTATCATACGCTGTACTGTATATACACCCGAAGTAAATCAAATATAAATATATTAAGTTAATCATAATAATTGAAAGTTAAAAAAAATAAAACAAAAACATGATTATAACACGCAATCAACAACCCAGAATTGCAGCATCAAATAGAATTATGTTCACACCAGCTGTTCTAGTCATTGGTACCACCCCCCCCCCTTTCAAAATTTCAAATGCTTAAAACTGTCCATTATATATTTTTTTTTTATATAACCATGGTATAATCTCCTGGATTAGCTACGTTTCTACCCAGAGCTTATTTTTCACCAATATACATACGATAAATGTTTGTGTCTACACACCCCACAGGGGTTAGTATATGTGTACAAGTGTCCTACTGTACTACTTGCAACGTTGATTAGAAACGTGAAATTCATTGGAGTCACTAAGACAGGAAGTGTTTTTAAAATCAAGACAGAACGTAAATTTCTTGCACCAATTGTCACCTGAAAACCTTTTAATATTTTTTTTGCGAAATGAATCAGTGTATAAAGCTTCTTAAGTATCAAGATATTAAAAACGAACTTTGAACTTTGCAACAGAAGGCACAGTACTGTTACTTTCATGAATGAGGAATGTCATTAGTGGTCGTTAGCAAATAAAAGCAGTTTCATTCAACCTCAACTTGTTTTTATAGATATGCAACACCATGCAGCGAATTGCGTGTGAATTTTCATTTACCAAATAATCATTTTAACTGTGCAGATGAGCTGGGTAATTATTGAGAATGCATTAACCTTACCTATTGTGATTTTGAATAATAAACTATTTCTTTTGAAGCAAGAGGTTTATGAATATTAATATTGATTTTTTTTTTTTAATTAGAGGTTCATGAATACTTTTAATTCCAGAATATTTCGAAAACATTTTTAATATTGGATCTATTCAACATCTGGTTATGAACTATGAAATCATTTTAAAAGACAATTTTAATTAATGCTTCACTACGAATCAGTGGTGGCACCAGCACGGGGGCAGGGTGGGCATTTGCCCACCCGTCGGACAGGCCTGGACCTCCTTGGTGTCCGAAGAACGACTAGGTTGTCGGACCAAAAATTATAAAAAAAAATAATTTGCCTATCCAAAGAAAGCTATTTTGATTGCCAATCCCTAATATTGTGGTCTTAAAAGCACATTTAGGACCATAAAAACTCACCCCATGAAGCCTCACAGGGATTTTTTTATTCCAGGCCGTCAAATTGGTTCGGACCCCTCCTTCGGACACATTGGACCCCTTTTCGGAAAATTTCTGGCACCACCGTTGCTATGGATGTTAAAATGGTAAATTTGTAATCCAGTGCACGATCTAACACATTCTGATCATAGCTAATTATCTAGGTCATCTGCTGATGTCTTGAGCTGATCAAAACACAAGAAATGAATGCAATACTAGAGAAGATGGCACGGATTAGTAAAATGGGTTTTCAATGACGGGTTAAAAGTTATTTTTCGCAACCAACAGAGAATTCAAACTTTTCGCAACCAACAGAGGTACATCAAACATATCTTTGAAAACAATGAGGATAAACACATACTTTTAGCTACATTTCCTTGGTACTAACTTTCAGTATTCAAGAAAAAGATACTGAAGATATTATGATATTTGTGTCTGTCAAGATATGAGCAATGACATTTCGAATGTCTGTGCCTTGAAGGTAATACCAAGAAAATTTTGCCATCTCGTTTGCGAACAATCTGCTGGCTAATATTTTCTTTGTGATCGACATGTCCAATTCAGCCAAATCTTTACTGCTCTTGTCTTTGAAATTATTGTATATATTTCAGCTTACAGTTTATGTATTTCATGTTAGAGCCTCTATCTTAATAACAGCAACTTCAATCAGATTTCCAGTCACACGTTTTTCATCTGCTACAAACTGCGCTGCCATCTAAAGTGACAACACGGAATCACAGAAATGCGTAACCAAATGTTTCCTAAACGAGAATGGCCGATTAGTTCTTCGTTGTCTCAACACAAAACGGCAAAGAAGCATACACAAAGTCCTGTGTACGTTTGTCACAGTGTACGGTCAATGTACAAACAGGTGATGCTTAGAACAGATCCTATCAACAGACACGCAATACACATCGCCAAAATTTTGTTGGAGGCAAGTGCTGCACTGGGGACTTGCACAGCGCCACACATTGTCCAGCTGTGGAAGAGATCTTCAAAATATCATTACAGAGTAAGAACATAACACACCAACAATTTTATAGCGAGATAGTAAATGGTCCCTTATTAACTATGACTTGGCTTGGATAGAAGTAGCACCTGTAACAGAACAACGCAACAAAACGTCCCGTCGTTTGTCGCCTCGTTTCCAGAACCCGTTAGATCAAATGTAATCAATTTACTGATATCAATCTGTTATGTTTATGTATACTTTCAACATCTTGACTCAACCGGACTGACAGCAGAACGGTCCGAGTTTGCATATACAGGGGGTTTCTCCAAAAAATTTCTCACAGCACTTGGGGCACAACTGTTCACCATAATATTTGATTCTCAGCCTGTCAATACGGCCGGAACTTCCAAGGATTCGGTTCCAAGAAGCAGTTTTTGATGGAATTGATGGAATCAATTTCGTATGAGCCAGAACGCATCCGATCATCGGCACGATTCAAGAAATTTAAACAATCAAATTTCCATTCCACAATTATGGTAGACTTGAAATCCCACAATGGATCGACATTGTGATGTCAATTTCAAACGTTTTATGTGATGATTTAAATGGAATGCCATCAGGTTGTACCGCCCTCAAGAATTATCTCCCTCATTTCAACATCTCTCAATATTCTCCTCTACTATTTCATTGTTTATCCTTCTCTTGTTTGGATTGCTTCTTATTTGTTGTTGCATCTTCAGAATGCTTTTCGCTGTTTGTCTTTGCATCGGATCCCTTAGTGGTCTGGTTATTGGTACGGGCAGCCTTTGATCTCTGGTCGTCTTTCTTGCTTGGCTTGTTGGCTGATTTATCAGTTGCACTACCACCCTCTGCACCTTTCACTTCCTCATCAACCTGTTTTATACAAGATACGTAAAGCAATGTAAATGTTTATTGATTGATTAATCAATTACAAATCAAATGCTGCTATTCTTGTTTAAATTTTCAAACTTGCCAATATTTTTTATGCTTTACTTACATCAACTTTAAAATCCTCCAATTTCTTAAAATTCTTGAGGGCACCCTGTAGCTTGGGTGAAATTTGAAGCTGCCTCTGTCGCGAGTATTTTAGGTAAGCCCAGAATTTTTCCAGTCCGTATAGTTGCCCTGAAAAAGAAAAACCAACATTACCGACTCAAGATCAGAAATTCAGGTACAAAATTCCTCACGGTCGGTCGACGCAATTATGTGGGGAACGCAAGGTGATGTTAAGTAGCTTCAATGTCAACAAAAAATAAACTGTAAGTTGCGTTGTAAAGTGCACAGATAAATATTATATCGTCCATCTTTTACTTGACAAAGAACTCCTCATCACCCTGGTCATAGTTGTCATAATTATTAATTTCTATTTTCAAGAAACAATACTATTACCTGCTTCGTAATCACGTAGCGTTTCCTCCTGAAAGTCGCTGAATATCTCTTGCCTGAACTTTATCTCGAGGCCGTAGCTGTAGTATCGAAAAAGGCACTCCAGTCCGTAACGATAGCCGTGCTTACTGTCTTCCACGGCCAGGTTACGGAACTCCTGGTACATCTTACGGTTGAAGTTCTGCCGTAGAAAGAACGACCAGAATCTGAACAAGGTATTCATCTCCTGAGATTTCCCAATACCAAGTTTTTTGCGATCTACGAGCGAGAAAAAAATAAATAAATTGACGGCCAATAAGATTTAAATAGCCAAGTTATAACTTACAGAGTCACTATGAAACTTAGTAAATGTAGTGCACCCTCAATTCAAGATCCCTTTAATTTCGAGATCCCTTTAATTTCGAGACCCTTCTAATTCGAGACAACTTTTTCAAAGACCTAAATAACAATCTTCAATCTTTAAACACAAAGCTGGCCCTCTAATTAGAGACCAACCCCTGAGACCACCCCAAATTTTTGGGTCCCAAGGGTGGTCTCGAATTGGAGTCAAACTGTAGTTATTTGGTATAGAAACATGGTCTTTAATAAGGAAGACAAAAAGATTATATGGATTTGATTTGGAGATGGATGGAGAAAATAAGCTGGGTGGACTACATAAGTATGGTAAGTAAAAAGAAAGTTGATAATTAACAAGAGACAAACGAAATGAATTGCACACACAGCCAGAGAAAAAATAATATCATGAGATGTCAGAAGGCAGAATGGATGGAAAAAGGGGAAGAGAGAAAGATTTAAGATACAAGACCTAAAAGGGAATGAGCTTCTTAAGAAATCAAACGTAGAAATTGAGAACAGTAAAACTGTCAAACATGACATAACATTAAATTGTAAAAAAACAATTTTACAAAAAATAATATAAAATAAACAAATCTAAATAGATTAGTCATCGTTATTACCTTTCAGACACTTCTGATGATATTTGTGGTAGGCATGTTGGGTGAAATTGTTATCTTTCAGCAATTCATGCGAGGGATGCTCAAACTTTGGAATAGTCTGCGGTGTGCCATAGCTGCTGCTGATCGGGGCACCCTCAGATGGAGAACTACAAAGAAAAAAATGTTTGCATTTTATATGATAGTAACTGCAATGACGTTTACAGGGCCTAGTTACAATAAAAATATTTCAACATTGATATTATTTATTGAAATCATTGTATGAGATGTTTTGCATACCTTGTTGAGGTAGTCCGAGGCCTATGTTCTCTTGTGTCCAACACCCAGCCGACGTGGCTCTCTACGGGTGGGTTGTCACTATGTCTGGTCTTGCGCTTTCTTGGCGTCTGAAACACAAGGCCAAATCTATCATTAATAATCTATTGCCCTACACTGGTAACTTAATTCATACTTATAGTAACATCTCCCAATTGACATGTCGACAAGGATGCAAATCCCCACCCACAAAGTCACGAAAACCTTAGACAATGGCGAAGATTTTCTTCGCTATCAACCTTCTTTAAGAAAGAGAATTCAGGGTAGGCGGTATGCAAATGAATCGTACATTCATAGTATTAATGTATTTCATGGAACATGGCAGGGAAATTGTTGTAAAAGCCTCTGTATTTCGCTCCCAAAGGAAGAGGGAAAAGCCGCATTCAGTCAACCTGGTTGTCGGCAAAGGCCAAGTCATTGATGCACACTGCTCGTGTAAATCTGGGTATCTATAACCAAGCATAGGCATCTAGGCCTAGGCTCACATATGTTTCGCGTTTAAACCAGCTGTCTAAGGAAATTAAAATGTCTGAGAAAATGTGACTAAATGATGCTTGCCAATTAGTCGGTTTATCTGTCAATCAAACCTCCTCGAGATGTTAATTATGAGCCTCCAAAATACTAGCTCTCTTTTTTTACAGATCACATCTTTAAAATCTTTCCTCACTACCATACTAATATATTTTATCATCATTATTTCTAAGATAAATAAAAATAAAGAGACAAATGCTCACCTTCTTGTCAGGTGGTTTGGTTTCTTTCATTACTGGATAGAATCGGTTTCCTTTACTTCTTGGCGTCTTTGGAGTTCTGGGAGTACGAGGAACAGTGGAAGAATCCGGCACAACTGCCGGTAATGACCGTGCAACATCTACTTTGGGAATGGCACCACTGATTTCAACTGCAAAATGGACGAAAACAAATCACACAGAATTTTTAGAAAAAAAAATATATAAAACAATAAAATATATAAATTATTTTTAAAAAATAAATTAAAAATTGAAGGTTCTGAAACATCTAGATTTTCATAAAAATTACACTTACTTTAATAAGTAATTTTTAAAGTTTACACAGCTCATACTACAACTTAAAAAAAAACTTGTTTACACTATGTACAATGAGGGCAATAATCTAATTTATTACACCTGTAAATATTTGGAAATTACAAGCTTAAGCTACTGACACTAATTGTTACATGGTACTTACTGGATTTTTTGGGTTCTGGACTGCTCTCTATAGGCGGGCCGGGAGGAACTTCTTGCTGTTCATGCGATTTTGTCGGCGTGATACTGTTGAAGTCTTCTTTGCTAATGGTTGTAATTTTATTGTACGATACATCCGTCTGTTAAAAAAAAACATAGGATAGCTTATTAGATAGCCGTTGATATATTGATTTAACAATATTTTGAAATATGAGGCATAAAGAGAATCAACATATAGAAAATGCGTTGTGTATATTATGGTTAGACATGTGGCAGAGCCAAGCCAAAAGAAGGATAAGTCGAAATTTTCAAAATTGAGTTTTGTACATATTACAAAGATAGACATTATTATCTTCAAAATGCAAAAAAATCACTTTGGTATGATAGTTTATGGTGAAGTTATGGCAATCAAAGTTAGGATACTTGGTAAGTGTATTTTCAGAAAAATTGAAAATTCTTATCAGTTTACTGTGAAAAAGCATGTTCTTTGAAGGTGCCTGTACATCTCTCCTTAGCAACAGGTATTTATTCTACACAGAATTGGTTGAAAACTTGGCACAACTGTTTATTTATTATATTAGTGTATTTGTTACAAATTTGGCTCTTTTTTTTTTTTTTTATAAATTCAATAAAACTAACCTTGACTTAAGGCAAGCATCTGTAGTCAAAATTAAGTTCTATTAATGAAATTAGTGTGAAACAAATAAACGAATTAGTGTGAAACAAATAAACTGAAAGTGAAACTGAAACTAATGTTTTTTCATCAAACTGAGACCAGCATGTACTTTTGCAATTAGGCGTAGGCCTAAGCCTACATGCAAAATTTCTCACTCAGCTTTACTGGCTAAATCAAACCAACAGCCTCGTTATACAAAGTGCTTTAAACTAAATCAGTGAAGTAACTTACTTTTGTGAAGTACACATCCGTAGCTTCCTCCCAAAGATCGCTTTCGTAATAGTAGAGACCATCGTTAATGACCTTGGCCAGTGATGCTGTGATCTTGGACCGGGGAACATGGTACCCTGTACGATCCCCACCGGGGTGCTTCTTGTAGCATGGCGGTGTCTGAGTCACAATGATGATTTTGTTGACCTCGTTGTCGGACATCTCATAATCATCGTCCTCATCAGACCTTCAAGACAAAAAATATTATATAAGCAGTTTTCAATGACGGTCACGTCATCTATTAAACAGCTGTTTGCAGTGCTGTGTAACTTAATGTGTAAACCCTGTACAAGCCATGCTTCCTGAGACTTTCAAATGTCTATATTTAGAAATTATACATGACAATATTTTTATGCAAATTCTAAGCTATGTATTCAGACAAAACAGATTAAAATCGATTGTACTAGATTAATTACTTGACATTTCATTTTTCCTATTAACATTATATATTAATAATTTAATTTAATAATTGTTTATGTATTCTATTAATATTCCATTATTCATACCATTCTGAGAACTGATTTTTCCTTCCTGTGATGCCTGTTAATTCTTCATCAAATAGAAACTCCAGTTCTTCCTGATTTCCAGTATCAGCTGGCTGAACATTTTTCTGAATGAAACAAGTTGGAATAAAAAAGAACATTTTCAATATGTAGTCTAAAAGCTATTCAAAGCCAGAATACCTCATCAGACTTATGTTTGTCAGATTAAATACAATGTTTTCTTACACTTTACATTCAGCCTGTCTAGACAATCAAATGTAATTTGACAAAAACATGACATCTCAAAATATGGTCTTGATGACATCACACCATGACCATATATAGGTATATCATGACTATATATATATATAGGCACATCATGACTATATTATGTCAGTCCATCATGTATGTAAAACGCAGTAGAGCACTAAATTGATCTCCTCGGATTACTAAGGAGAGCAAATGCTCTCCTTGAAAATTTCACAGCTTTGAAATAGACGCCTCCTTCCCCCTGGGCTGGATACAGGTGTCCGAAGGTGGGGAAGGGCGCGATCGAGAGACACTACTCTAGGGGGTATTTTGTTTTCTAGACGCCCGGAAATAACTTCTGAGGCATTTTAGGCGATCGATTCCCCCTCATGGGGGATGGGAAACCGGCCTGGCTCCCCCCCCCCACTCAAATAAACTCCCACTCCAGAGCCTCATTTGGAATAAACCCCTTCTCGAGGTAACGTCTGGAGCTACAAGGCTGCAACGCAAGTTACGATAGCGCAGTCTTTCGGTGGTCATGTATGCATTATTGTACAGTCCATGTGCATGTTAAAAAACGCAGTACACACTTTGGAAGAATAGGGGATGGTCTCCCGGTGTACTGCCAAATCACCACCACAAGAACCCACTGGAACTAAATCTTTGAACTTTCATTGCTTATCCTTTGTGCTTAAACCGAATAAACCCATCCATTCATGATAGTGCGGAGAAAGATATGTCATCAAAAACAGGCATCTATTGAAAACAATTAGGGCCCCTTAAGTTGTTGACTATAAAATTGATGTATTAGAAGAGGAAAATGTAAATACCTTCGGTTTATTAATGCTTGTCGTTCGTTGCCTCCTCCGAACCTCAGTCCATGTGGATGGTTCTTTTTCAGGTGCACTCGTTGAGAGTCCAGAGGTCATCGTTGCATCGTTTTTTGAATCCTCTGCTTCTTGGTCATTTGATTCCACTTCCTGAGTGATCTTCTCAGGGTGTGTTGGGGAGACAGGTGCAGATTCTATAAAACAAAAGAAAATGATTAATGAATCTACAGTGTAGTAATACTATGACGAGAAAGGATGCATCTTATAAATATAGACGGTAAAAAAAAAATGTATACAATTTATATCAATAATAACAATCAAGATTGTACTATTCATAATAAAAACTCAACAATAACATTCAATTCTTTTTATAACATTTCACTCAAAAACTTACAAAACCATCTTCATACACAAACAAAATGAGGAAGATGGAAGAAGAGCAACAAAGTTTCTCTAATCAAATTGGTTTTGTCTATCAAAATTTAAAGCAAAAAGATGCCCCTCCCCAAAATACAGTAATATAGACAGTAGGGAATTATAATAACAGCGACTATAATAAGGATGTTTATTGCCCAGTTTTGGAGAAATAGCTTATAAATAATTGTTTATTATGCAGTTAACCTTGTGTGAGGTTATGTCACGGTTCAACGAATTCTAGCAAACCATGTGTACATATAAGTTTCTTGTCATTTTTACGAGAAGCGGCACATACCTGTGTCATGAGGAACATAAGGATAGGGTTTGCCGGGTACAAACTCGGGACTATCGTAATGTAGGACTGATGATATGGATGGTTGAGCCGTTCCCTGGATTATCCATTGCAGAGGATTATCCCGTCGTCGAAGCTTCGTCTGATCCGAGGATAATTCCACTTCTGTACTGTCTTGCAAAGCCTGAAAAATTAAGAAATTCAATTATTTACAAACACATCGTATTTATTCAAATAAACGCTTTAGGGCGTCTACTGTATATATATATATATATATAGTATTTTTGTAAAATGGATACGTATATACTTTAATAAACGACCTTAATTTCACAGAAAATGTGGAACTACAAATATTTAATTTTCATCAAAATGTGAAATTGTGTGACCATAAACACTTATTGATCCCAGACAGGTTAGCAAAAACGTATTGAAAATGATGTTGCTTCCATTAGATTCGTTTACAGTCATTAAGGGAGGGAGTATATTGAAAGTGGGGCGTTCATTTCAAATAAATATGGTGTCCTGCATGGTATATCGTTAAACTGCAATTCATTAGGAATTTACTGCCTAATAATTGTTTTATACACACTAACTTATGGAAACACACTACCTTATGGAATGTTTTATTCCATTACATAACATAATTGGTTTCCTGGTATTGACAAAGTAGTACTTTTTACATTCAAATTATTTAACAAATAAACAAATTTGCTTTTGAAAATAAGTTTCATGTGATTTGCAGAAGACTCCTTGAAGATTATTTATCTTGATTTGCATTGCTTTTTATTAGTAGGGAGCTTTTGATTGCACGACGAAGGTAGGACGTAGAATGCACTGACGTCACTAAAAGTCATCTGCGCATGCGAGAACGTTAAGGTCACCTCGAGTAGATTCTGGAACGCAATTTGGCCAAATCTACTTATGCAGAGAAGGTAGGACGCCAGGTAGGACGGTCACGCACGAGTGATTCCATTCTAGCGTCGTCGCACAAATCTACTGGCTGCGGTTGTCAGCTGCCAATGGCTATCGCTGCATACATCAAACTACCGCAAGGAATCTCACTTAACCACATCTCCAGGGAATGGTTTTTCCCAATTTGGGATCTTTGTATTTACTTACTCGAACAATCAACGCTGTGTTATTCGTTAAACTTTGAACCCGCTGAAAACTTGCAATAAGACTAAGCGGAAGAAAGCCTTCTGTATCCATCTGAAAAATATAAAAGACAATTACAAATGGTAAAACTTTCTAAAACTTGAATCATTCATTTTTTTGCATCACACTATTCATTAGTGTGTTGACAGTTAAACCAAAGAGAATAGAACTGTAAGTGGTCCAACTCTCAGGTTTCGTTGGAACGTAATTCTGTTCAAAAAGTAATACTACAAACTAGAGGTCGTCCTTCAAAAGTAGAGTTTCAAACTCTATTCAAATTCTAATAGGGCATTGTGTGCATACACAATCAGGAAAATTGGAACTCTTGTAATTCCGTACTATTTGGGTTAACTTTCTTATAAAAACAAAACCAATACATACATATCACCAAAACCCTATATCACCCCAGTACCATGAACACCACTGCCCCCTTCCCCCTTACAAATACTATGAACAACAGGTCACTTCCCTCCCTAGAACTACACTCCCCTTAGGAGGATCATAGTTAATATTTTTGTTATTATAATTAATACTATATTTTATTTATACTGTGAGCTTAGTATGAATAGTTTATAAGTTAGTACTGAAAGTGTTTCAAATTCAATAATATATATTAACTTGACCTTTAAATTATTTGTTTGTTGATGGATATTTAAATTTCCGTTTTCCTTGTATAGCCTATTTTTAAAGAAATTTATTGTAAAATTCTGGATGTATTTTATGCTTTATGATACTCTAATAATAACTGTAATAGTATATATTTTATTTATAAATTTTCTCAATAAAATCCATGAATAAATGGATGATTAAAATTATTTAAAAAATAAATTTTGCTTCGTCTAGCTAGCTTTAACAACGAATGAGGAGGAAACCGTAATATAAGATCCATATAATTAGAAAAAGATAAGATTAAAAAGCCAGTATATATTCATGAATAAACAATGAGTCACATAAAGGGTTTTGCTGGAATAGTAAATATTAATATTGCTGATTGCTAAAACAGTGACTCACTAAGGTTGTGCTAGTCATGTAATTGAAATGAATTAGAAGGCTTGATTTACACGACAAGTACATGTTAATTTCCAATAATAAGGGTGTGACATGGGATCATTATGCCCATATATGGAAACACCAGATATTTGTCGTATAAAAATCGGCAGTATGGACAAGGCATTAGCCTTATGTTACATGTGACCTTTAACCCTGTCCAGACTATCAAATTTTATTTAACAAACAAATGTGACATGCCGAAATATGGTCATGATGACATCACATCATGACATATATAGGTATATCATGACTATTTATGTGCATACAAGTCTTTTGTTGAATGCATACAACATGAATACAAATAATTATATAAGAAAAAGCACCGCAATTAAAATAATAAAAACATAATCAATGCAAGTACCAACTAGTAATAAGAAAAGCAAGTATTATTATATTTTTTTAAATGTCAAATCTTATGGTCCAATATTACAATAGAGTGAAAATGAAATATTCATATATTCACAAGAATAATTTGATTTTAAGCTAGCTTAACTACAACAAATAAATACAATTCTCTTCTATACTCACCTTTCTTCGAAGAAAAAGGTCTTTCACAAGATTCTCAACACTGAAGTAATATTCTCTGTATAAAATAAAATAACACAGGGAATTAGCACTGATGCCACTTTCAGACAGACCTATGTTACAGCAATTATTGTGGGAATATTCCCATAAATGCCTTCTGTATAAAAAGGTCAGAACTAAGGCAGCCGCAATATTGGGGTTATGTGGCGTTCCACCTCAGACCTAGTAATATTACTGCAATATTCCTGTTACAGTGCGTTCGGGAGTGTGTCTGAAATGAAAGCAAGTCACACTCCCGCTATATTACTCCTTACTCATAAGCATTTTCTAGAAACAATCAACAATAAAGCATGCCGTCAGTCTGTGATGACTATAAAGATTAAACAATGGTTTTCTCAGCATGAATAATCCATCCATACCGAAAGGCATTACATTACGGCAATTTTACTGCAATATTTGGTTGGTATGAATTGTCCATATTGGAAAGCGTACCGGTGTTATTACCGCAATATTGACAGAACCTCTATCTGAAAGTGGCTACAATCAACAGACGTTTATACTAAGATTGCACCTCAATCATCAATGACCGTCAAAACATCTGGTTAATAGTGAGTGGCATAAAAGTACACGAGTTGTTGTAATTTCCTGCTACTGTTGAAATTCACGAGGCTGGCCATCCCAAAACCAGCATATTGTCGCAACTGAGCAATTAGCATAAAAATGGTGGCAGTATTGTATACATTAGTACAGAGAAGGTGTAATAATTTTACACATAACTTCGACAATAATTATGCAGTCGATTCCAGTAAATGACCTATCATTTAAAACCATATAATATGCAGGATATGAATATATTAAAAAGTCAATTTTCTTGTTTTGGTCACTAACCTGGTTTTGGCATGGCAAACCCCATATACTATTTTATAATAATAATAAAATAAATTTAGCCACTGAAAATATATCAGTTATTGGCAGCTATTGATTAGGAAATCTAGTTGGCATATTACATCTCATGGTATTTTTATATATTATATTAAATTATATTGTATTATATTATATTATGTATTATTTTATACCTTGTTTCATCAATTTGCCACCCACAAATTAAACTGATGATTGATTGAATTGAAATTATAATCTATGGTCTGTAAATGTCATGCCACCATAGAAATAATGAAAATTTTAGAAAATATTTTAAAGAAGTTTTTTTACATTAGCTTCTGTCAGAGACCTTCCAAAAAGAATTTATCTTCCTCGTAACTTGAATTATAAAAAATATTTTTCCAAAAGATTTCTGAACATTATATATTTACGATGACGTGTTAGCATCTAGAACAAGGGTCTTGCATTACATATGAAACCTCAAGCACTTTTTATTAGGAATAAAAAAAGTCTCGTCTAATAATGAACATAGGTACACTCAAAATAAGGTTTCATAAGTGACAAAATATATACGAATGAAATCCTACATTTGTTTTTTGACATAGTCTAATAAGGTATTCTCATCGGTCGCTGGAGCCAAGTTAGTTGCGTAAGTTTGGTAGTAAAAGGTGTTGAACGTTGGCGGTGCGGTGTAAATCGGTTGACCCGTCGCCTCCGTCGTTGCTGTGTAGTTGGTAGCATAGTCATCTCCTTCCAAGTACTGTTGTGGTTTGTAGTATGGTTTAGCATAGTGCATGGAATCATCTGCAAAAACAGAAATAACATTAATGATACAGCAACACTGTATGTCCAGACTACAGTTAACACAGAGAACATACAAAGCACACAATGAAATATAGAATATAAGGCCAAGCCATCCCAAAATCAATGGCCAAAAAATCAAAACTGATTTTCAGTTTAATCATATTTTCCACATTGGTATTAAAATGATTGGTAATTTACTAGAATCAACTTTGAAAATGTAAAAGTACGTCCAATAATTACTGTAGTACTAGTTTCAACATACAGCGACAGTACGCTAGTTTTGAATTGGCATGTCTCATTTGTTTTTTTATAAATACTTGAAACATGGAGTGATCTTTTAGAGCATTAGAAATACATTATGATGTTCCAAAGTTCAATTTCTAAGCTGCTAAGTAGTTTACCAACTTTCCATGCAACATTATTTAAATATGATGTGTAATACATCAAAAACCTCTCCAAAAAAGCCATATATTTTTCTACACCATTGTTTATTTATGACATTGTATTAACTGAAGAACAAGCACATGATTTCAGTGAGCATCCAACTACAACTCTAAGCCACACTAAACTACACTGATAAATCTAAATAATGTAGTATCTCATTAAATGAAATACAGGTAATAATTTTATGTACCTTGCCAATTGTCGCTCCTAGTGGTTCCGCCACGACCACCTCTACCGCGTCCACGCCCTCGTCCCCTACCTCTACCCCGTCCTCGTGGGTAGTAAGATCGGCCATCAGTGCTTCCACCACTTGGGCTTCGTATCCTTTCCGATCTACTGCTGTTAAAAACTAATATATAAAGTATAATTAAAACTCAAAAATTCTTAATATAAATGGCTTTGTACAAAATCCAAATAATAATAAAATAAATCAAACCTTTCACTAAACCAAAACTAAACAAAAAGAATTGTGAGTTGTGTTGACTCCAAAATACCAACTGAAGGCAATTTAGTTATTGACATGTTTAAGTAGAAAATTCCAAAGGCAGTTGTCCAAAAATAAAGATACTTTTAATAGCGATAGAATTAAATATATTCTTGGAACAATTAGCAAATCACATTATTCAACTATGACACAAGTCAAAAAATTGTCCATAAATAAAAACATACCAGCATCGTCCTTGCTGCTTTTAAGTTCACTCTGTTCCTTAGTGTCGCGCCAATTTGCATCGCGCCAGCTTCCTTCTCGCTGCGGTTTTTCACGCCACTCCTTTCGGTCTCGTGTGTTTTCACCTCTGTCGCGCGTGTACTTTGGTGAGTTGTGGCGGGCATCTTTGCCACGGTGCCTCATTGGTTCCGGTTCGATTTGAAGCGGTTTCCATTTTTGCTTTTTATCAGCTGCGAGACACAAGAACAGACATTTTTTATATCTAATTACTTTTTTAAATTTTAAACATTTGTGACTAATTCTGGCAAAACCTGCCGTTATGCCACAATTTCTCACTTCGCACAAGCACTCAAAAATTTTCAGTTTTTGCATTGTATTAAAAAAGACATATTGAATAACATTTCTGCAAAATATCAATAAATAAGTCTATGAAAAGTATATTAAAATTATTTTTAAAATATAATCTTAATAATAAATTATTGATTTTGAAGTCAAAACCCCACAATACATGGCTGATATCCAATGAATTAAATATTTATAACTTTGCTAATATTAAACCAATTTCCATCAAATAAACACTGCTTTAAATACAAATTAATGTTTCATGTAAAATTTAAAATGCAAAAAAAAATAAACTAAATTTTGAATTTTTTCAACCAAAAACGATCACATTTATTTTATTATAATTATAACATAATATTATTATTTCCACCGTAAGTTTTTGTCATATTCAAATTACCCTTTGACCTTAATTTTCCATCATAAAGTAAACATAATATTTTCATTATTTATCTAGATTGGAATATTCTCAAGAGGATCAAGTAATGTCTGTTTTACATAAGTGCAGAGTTACAAATTGCTTTAGCTATTTCTGATATTCGATATTTCCTTGTTTTATGTTCAAAGAAATAATTGAAATAATAGAATATAGGAAGTCTAAGAGCTCTGTCCAAACTTGTATGCCCATATAGTCTAGATGTGCCATATATGGTCATGATGTTGTGTCATTGTGACCATATTTAGGCATGTCACATAAAATTTTTAGTCTGAACAGGACTTAAGCATAGGAATTTGACAAGAACTATCCATATGTCTGCAGAATTGTGCATCACCAACCGATAGACAAGCGCAGCCCACACATGTGTTGTTTCACAGAATAATTAATATGACCCGAGTCCTTATTGAGCATGCTCATTAGGAATGTAAATAAGTGGTAATAATTTAACAGAGTATGTCTTTCATTTTATCATATTCTAATCAGAAGTTTACTACAGATGGGTTTTCCCAGAGAAAGCATGCGGATCTAGCCATTGTGAAGGCCTAAACGAATCAACAAGAGGCTGGCCAATTTCCATATGTCATTCAGTGATTATATTAATTAGGTCAACAAACCTTTTTAGACAAGCATGACAAAAATCTTGTTAGCAGAAAGACGATAGTTAACAAATTAGTTAACAAAATCTCAATAAGTCTGTTTACAATTTGTCCCAACTATAGGCATACTGTAAAGCAATCGACGATTATTTTTACTGAATTGTTGAAAATGTTTAATAACCTATGATTAATGGAAGAAAGTAGAAGAGGAAGAAAAGTTAATAAAATGACAGAGAATGGAGAAGTGAAAGTAGAGAATAAATGCAAGAAAATACCCGTGTACCTTTTTTCTTGGCAGATGTTATGTTTTTGTGGGATGTTTCCACTGCTTCAGGCTGTGTCTCAGCAGGTGTTTCAACTGTTTCTGCAACTTCTACTTTTGTGTCCGTTTTCTTACCAGGTGAGGCTGGAACCACCTTGCCACCAGGTGAAACAGGAGCAGGTGCTCCCTAAAGATAAGCATTAATTATTATGTTTATTGTATAATAAATATTTATAAATACATTGTAAATACAGCTAAGACCCTTTTTTTTCTACATAATGTTGTTTATCTATTTGATATATTTACCAACTACTGAATTATTTTTGTTTCAAAAGTTTTTATCCTTTTAAGACTTATTTTTATAAAATATATCTTTGAGGATGCAAACAACTGATCACGTATGCTATATTCTAAAAGGTTATCACTACTTCTCATACAGCGCAAGGCTGCAAATAGCACACAGTACATAATTACAAGATTAGCTTTTACCAACCCATCATTATTCACGCGTCATTATCCCGACAATTCCTCATGTTCCCGATAATATTACACATGGGAAAACAAATTTAGAACTATTTCTTAATCGTTTGATCAATTTTTTGAATACAATAATTGTTCTAGACTATTATTTTTCTTTTAAAAAAGCTGTATGATCTTTATGCTTCAGCGATCATCTATTAAGTTGAACATATATTTCAAACGTATAATAGCTAGTTGCCAGGTAAACACAGATAATTGCCCAATTCTTTTAAGAAAATCGCTCACATACAGAAGAATACTTACATCTTTCACCTTATCCAAGGTTGGCCATGATGACAAATCGTTGAAGTCACTTGCCTGAAATAGAAAAGAGGGTTAATAAAAATTGGATAATGTATTGTGACTTGGTTGATTTTAATAGTTTGTTGTAATTTACAAATAGTTATAAAACAATGTAATATTGACCATGATTTAGGTTCTTTCATAGCATCACATGGTTACCAACCGCCTTGCATGGTGTGGGACAGTCCCACATTTCAAATTAATTTCGGATGAAACACGCATTGTGCAGAAATGCATGTGTGATCATAAATTTTCACACATTTAGCATAAGTCTATGCGTGATAACGAATTATCACAAATTCAGTAGAAAATGTATTTAAAATTAGAAGAAATTTGTTTCATTAACGATATAAAAACAGTCATACAGTAACTTGAGTCATTAGAGAGCTTTCGTTATCTCATTCGAGAATCAATTCGCCGAAAAAATTCCTCTTTCTCGACCAAAACCCAACCAACCACGCACTTAGTAGAATATAGGAGGCGTGTGGTCTTGCGCATCTAATGATGATGTGACTAAAACCACTGGAGCTCCTGAACCCCGGCGGGGGAACTAGCGTCCCCAACCCCAGTCGACTGGTGTAGTCACATATTTCAAATCTCTAAGGTTGGTAATTATGGCATCAATATAGATCTTTAACACAGAAAGTTTAGAATGCAACAAATTTGGCAATAAAACATTACCAACAAAAATTTAAATTACAATAATTTTTGAGGGGATGTTCTCTTTTGGGAGGGAATAGGCAATTAGTTGGGCTATACAATATAGGTAAGTAAGTATTCACAAAGTAGACTAGTTTATAGTGTAACAATTTAAAACAACAGACTATAATAGCTAATGTCATCTGTAAGACTACTTACATTCTAAAAAGACTAGAAAATCCTTGAGTGAATTGAAGGTTGGTTGGTTCCTCCCTTCAATAAACCCTCACTAACAGGATATAACAATACAATACAGTACAAGAAAGCAGTATTTTCTCATATCCAACTCACGGCAGGTCTCACAGGCCAACGTTACTGACTAAAACCTAAACACTGATTAATCCATTATGGGTGTTTAAAAGTCAAAATCCTAATATGTGGCAAAGACAAGCCAAACCAGTCACTCGTCGCAAAAATCGATTTTGAGTTATTAATACAGGGTCAAAGAGTAAAATAAGAGCTATAAAATGGTAAAAAAAATCATTTAAATACAATAATATATGAGAACAATATATGAGAAATCAGCCTTCAAAGTTTATGATTTCAGGCATTTCTCATGCAGAAACTATCATAAAATCTTTAAAAAGTATTGATTTAACATTGAAATTGGGAAAAATAACAGCATAGCATGATATATAGATACATAAACCTCAGTTTTGTGAAATAAAATAGATTTTAAAAAAAATTTACATTCTAGCATGTTTTTGCTATTTTCTCTGAAACACAATTTGCGACGAGTGACTGGTTTGGCTTGTCTTTGCCACATATGTTTGTTTTAGAGCTACCTAGTTTATATTAGCAATTCTGTAGAACTGCTCTAGGGTGCAAGTCCACCAAAGCCTAGCCTTTTCATGTGAAATGCTCTATCCATGTATAAGCCCACTGCTTTGAGGTCTGGAAAGGAAATTATATAATTTTGTCCTAAACTGGTCTACGCGATTTAGCCTAGGCTGGACTGCCTAGAGTTGAATTCATATCGTTAAATATCTGCATTTGCTAGTACTCAAAATATACACCCACCTCCCTCAATTCACAACTGATTTTTATGTTTAAAAAGAATAGCTTGTATCTTAGGGACGATGATAAATTATATAACATTTCTGGCAATAAAATACCATAATTATGTACATTCTGCTTGTCAGCCAATACACCCACCTGTCTTAACAAATAAAAAGGCACTTACCACATTGTTAATTTTTCCTGCCTTCACGATGGTTGCTTTCGGAGATCCTTTTTTGTCATCTAGGGATAAAAATAAATAAATATAATTAATTAAAATGCATATTTTCAATATTAAAACATTAAATTAACCAAGGTATTTCAACTGTAACAGCTGTCAAATATAATAAAGAATTCCATATTTAAAAAAAAAAAATTATGTTAAACTTTGCTATATTTTTGTAATGTGAATTGATTATTATTACAGTAATAATTGTAGATGCAATATGGCAGACCAAACATTTAATAATGCATCATATGAGCTATACTACTTGGTCGCTTTAAAATCCATTAGGCAAAGCTTATCCAGTCGATTGCTGTCTGACCTGTCTACTTTCGGGCAATTTGATTGGCCCTTGAGGTGCCAAATTTAATAGGTCAATTGCAAGCATTAAAATATTTGTCATTTATTAGATAGGTTATGTATCATCAATTAAGTAGAAGAGAGGATCATCGATGGCTACAGAATATTATTGAAAATTACATGACTAAATATTTCTTTTTAATAGCGATCACCTGAATATACCATAAATACAATCTGATTTATTGTACTGTAGTTAACTTTTTTTCTTTTCTTTTTTTTTTTCAGATCAGTTTTAGGCTGTATTTATACATACACCCCCAAACTCAGGTCAATGTTTTTTTAACAGATTAAGATCAGAAATATTATGTTTAAAACAAACTATTTAAATAAGCAAACAAGTATTTGAAAGCTGAAAATTGTCCCATAATGAAAATTAGTGTAAAATATACAAATACAAGATGGGTAGAGACAAATGAATTAAAACTAAATTTACAGTCAATATTAAATATTAGGCCTACACTGCTAATAATTATTTTGTATATATTTAATATTCCAAAATCCACTAAATGTCTCAGCAGGTGGTAGACTAGCCGATAGCAGATCTTTAAAAATTGGCTTCAGATCAGTTTTAGGCTGTACTTATATGTACTGTACACCCCCAAACTCAGGTCAAATTCTTTGAACAGAATTTACAATATTTACCATCACATTACTAATATTAACTGCATACATAATACACACATGTGCTAATTCAGTGGTAAGCAGCAGGCTAGGCTAAATCAATACAAAATGTGGCAGAGCCTACTACACGACGTCAACCATCGCTAGCATCTTACTGCCAGATCCTACAAGTGCGAAATTATAGCATTTGTCACAGCTTTCATTTACATTAGTCATGAATCTCTACTCAATAATATTTCAATGGTGGGATGCTATTTCAATTTACATAGAAGCTGCTATCACTACTTCATTAAAATGAAAAAAAGCTGGCGATAAATATTTCATTTTCAATTCTTTTGTTGGCAATGAATAGGGTTTTTAAAATGTCTACATTTTTTTTTTTAAATCATAGGAAGTATTACCCTGGGAACACCCATTACAATATTGCCTTGCAACCACCAGCAGTTGATATTGTCTTTGTTCATTTACCAGTACTTCCACTTAATGTTATATTACTTTAGTATCTTAAGTACTTTACACTTTTCCTTCAGGCTACGTTTTTTCTCATACCTTTTACAGTGAATTATAACGGTTGTTGGAGGGTTGAAAAAAAAAAATAAAATTTAGTTTTCTGAATTATCCTAATTGTTCTGCACTTAAGATTCTAGGAGGAATAACACACATTGGCTTATTTTAACCATAATTGAAGTATCCCAATAGAACAACTTATGCCTGTACTACTGTATGGTATGTCATATATAGTTATGTCGTATTAGAATCAACCAATCAATCAATAAAAAACATTTATAATACTCATATTCCAAATGTTTATGACTTATACAATAATATATATTTTTATTTTACTTAGATACTATAACTTCCTGAAATACATACTGCCACAAAAATTTAATAAACTTTGAATAAAAATAAAATATAAAATTGCCTAGCGTGCGCTAAGAGACAGTATATATATATATTCTGCTATTATCTTTCCCTATCTTCTAGGGCTTTGACAACAATCTTTCAGATTGTTGTTATTTTTATTTTTTATGGAAAAATTACTGAAAAATAGCAAACAGTAAATTTTTTTCACAAGGTTCTAAAATTAGATGAGGGCAGGGACATGGAATTAGCAATTAATCTTATTTGACCTTGTATAAAATTACTAGATTTCACAATGAATGATTAAAACATTCTTTGCCAAAGACTTTAAAATAATCCTTGCATATACCCTGAACTGCTGCCAGCAAAATTTAAGATTTTACACTGTGACTGTAAATGATTAAAAAACATTCTTTCAGCCTGTGAATTATTAAAAGTTATATACTATAGGGTTCTTTTAAACAAAAATATAATTTTTCATATTTTTTTTTTTTTAGCAATGTGCAGGAAAATGAAAACTAGTTATATAACAGATTTTGAAGTATGTAATCAACATTGAATTTGCAATATGTTAGTGGTAAATATTCCTAATTTGCTTTGTATCTCTTTCTCAAAAATTATATTTTGAGTATGCTGTCAATCCTGGTGAAGGATGGGATAGTATTAGAAGGAGTGTTCATTAGTAAGGTTAGAGATTAGACAACTTCCTGATAATCGGTCTAAATACGTTTCCAAGTAGTCATAAAAAAAAGTCTATTATATTCAAAACAAACTTATTACCTTAATTTTATAACCACATTTTATAAGAACTCTGACGCTGAAATAGCATAAAAAATAAGAACAAATGAGGCTGAGATAAAATGTCAAATGAGGTTTTTATTCAAGAAACTAGAAAAACCAACAAATAAAGCCAAGTCACATCTAGTTAAGTATTATTACGTTAAAAAAATGATTATACTGTAAAATTCTTTTGGCCTTTTACCCTGTATAATACAGTACAGTAATATACTGCAGTAAAATAATAATTTTCTATCTATGAAAAAAGTGTGTAAAATAAGACAAAATAAGAACAATTTGAATATGAACACTGACCCTGGACAATCTAATTTACAATTTTTTTTCTTACTGATTTGCAAACATTCTAATAATTACTATTAATATTTACCTCTACATTATCTTGTTAATATATTATTTCTTTTTTTAAATTAAATATAATAAATTAAACATAACAAATATTGATAATCTGTCTAATGGACTTTTTACAGCGCGACACTGCATTCTTTACAGCCACGCAACAGAATCGTGAGCACAGGGCCTAAGGGCGCCCACTATGAACTTTTTATACCAAACAATCCCATTCTTTTCTTCAGTAAAATTTACATCTTTTTTACTACTTTGATACTAGACATTTTTGTTGGAGCCATTTTGTTACAAAAAAAAAAAATTCTTTTCCTGTGACCACAACTATATGTAAAAATTAATTTGCTAAAGGAATAAAAAAAATTCTTGTACCTGTACCAACAATTTTGAGTTGGAAAAAATATTATATTTTGGTATTTTTTTTGGTTTAAACCTCAGAAAGTTGTTCATGTACAGTATGGGACAAAGGAGTACCCGTACATTTGCACAAGCATTCTCTGTTCACATTCATTATAGGTGGACTACAATTGTAGTCTAACCACAAAATGCTTTAGGGCAGAGTTCAAATATAGTGTTAATGCGATTACACTATTTTCCCACCTTAGGCCATCTTCATAGGATTTTTACGAATAAAATGGTTCTTTTTTTTTTCCCCCTTTTTTTTTTGGGGGGGGGGAAGAGTATAGGCAATCAACATGTATATTATATAGCCCATAGAAACAATCTTTTTTTTCCCTTTTTTTTTGGGGGGGGGGGAAGAGTATAAGCAATCAACATGTATATTATATAGCCCATAAAAACAATGGTTATATCATCATACAATGGGACTGTTACACATAAGGATTCTAGATAGAATACCATGAACAGCATTAAGACGGAGAACAGGTGTGAATGATGTCATGTCAGAGGTGGCAAAAAAGAAGTGGAGATGGGCAGGTCATGTGATCAGAACCACAGATAACAGATGGACAAGAAAAATAACAGAATGGATACCCAGAGAAAGTAAAAAAAAAAAAGAGGAAGACAGAAACAGAGGTGGAGAGATGACTTGAAAAAATACAGGAAATATTGTTTTAAAGAAACATCAAACAGAAAGATGTGGAAGAGTTTTGAGGAGGGGTATGCTCAACAGTGGACCAAGGAACTCTGATCTAAGGTAAGTTTACAATGGGACTGTATATTCTTACCATTCAACTTTCAGTTTGTGAAATATCATAAACAAATGTATGCCAGCCATCATAAACAAATGTAACCTATTGGCACAGAACATGTGATATGTGTTGCAATAATTTATGTTATTAGATGTAACATAAATATAACAAGAGGAATTGCATAAGAATACATACTGAGTGTAACAAGTGGGATAAATCACAAGCTATACAACATGTTAAATGCAGAATAATAATTAGCAGGCCTAATAATATCACTGACCAACTAATAACTACCCTAATTCATCAATATACTTGGGAGTGAGTGTAATGTATTAATACTGGGCCCAGCAGAAGTACTCCATTCATTCCAAAGACAACGAATTATAAAGCCTAAATATTGAGAGGAACTGGTTGTAACAATCACACACTACCTTCCTTTGATTGATGTGGCATCTAGGATCCCAAGCAATTCGCTGGTAAAAAAGAAAACACTCGTAAAATTCCAACAATATGGACAGAAACAGAATTTCACACTCGCCACACAGCCTTAGCCAGTATCAATAATGACACTAGGCTGTATGAAAGTTGAAAGGTCAGGATTAGTTATGCATGAGCGGTTCTTGGCTCATTCCAATCAGTCAGTACTAGGGCAGAGCATGGTAATCAAATAAAGGTCACACAGTCAGGTTATAAAATAAATAACCATAAACCGAGATAATTACAGCAATGATGATGCAATACAACAAGCTGATTATATTATAATTAAAATATTGGTAATTTTACCTTTTGTTTAGTTTGAATTATATGAATTAAATTAAGGGAAGATCCATAACCCATGGAATATTACAAACTCATCCTGAAGCGTTTTACAATGCTGTTTACTTATT